AATTGCTACAGGCACTGGTGATTTTTGTTTGTACTATTTTATTTTTTTTTATTAACACATCGGCCGTTTCCCACCAAGGCAGGGTGGCCCAAAAAAGAAAAACTTTCATCATTCACTCCATCACTGTCTTACCAGAGGCATGCTTACACTACAGTTATAAAACTGCAACATTAACAGCCCTTTTTCAGAGTGCCGGCACTGTACTTCCCATCTCCAGGAATCAAATCCGGCTTGTTGGTTTCCCTGAATCCCTCCATAAATGTTACCTTGCTTACACTCCAATAGCACATCAAGTCCTTAAAACCATTTGTCTCCATTCGCTATCTAACACACTCAAGCATGCTTGCTGGAAGTCCAAGCCCCTCATAAAACACACAAAAACTCCTTTACTCCCTCCTGCCAACCTTTCCTAGGTCAACCCCTAAATTTGGAAGTTCTACAAAGTTCCTAATCCTGACATGGTCCAGTTTAAGTTTAAAGGACTAGCCTTACAGTATATTTAATTTTTTTTTTTTCAACATGGTTGTTTCTTGTCAAGGCAGCGTGACCCAAAAAAGAAAGAAATACTTTCACCATCATTCACACATAATCACTGTCTTTGCAGAGGCACCCAGATATGACAGTTCACGTGTCATTCCAAACATTCAATATCCCAAACCCCTCCTTTAAAGTGCAGGCTTTGTACTTCCCACCTCCAGTACGTATATTTAATATTCTCATTTATTTAATAAAACTTTTTCTCCCCATGTGATGTTTGAAGGTGAGATGTGTTTACATTTTGTGATCTGTATTGCTTTTGTTTACCGTTCCTAACAATGATTTCTAAATTAACTTTTTTGAAATTTTGGTTCTTGAGGCTTACACTATGTCTTTTATTAAAACTGCTAGTGCTCCACATTTTCCTAACACTATTAATAAAAAATTCTTGTCAAACTCTTAATTTATATGATGCAAATTCCTTTAATCTGTCCCTAGCAGGTCACATAATGTCTTGTTCCTTTTCATTAGTAAAACCTTTTAACCCTTTTTTTGTATAGATGTCCCCATTTATATTTGTCCAGTACAGTATATAAAATCTTTTTTTTTTTTTTACATATTTATGTCTAGCCTCTTTTCAGTATCATGAAAAACAATTTGGCTTGGTGGGCTGGACCTATTGCTCTGCAGCCTTCTCTTCAACATTTATTTCCACTTCATTTTTGGCATCTATGTTTTCCTTCGACATTATTCTTCTTTTTCTTCTTTTAACAAACTGGCCATATCCCTCTGAAGCAGGGTGCCCCAAAAAGAAAAACAAAAGTTTCTCTTTTTAACTTTAGTAATGTATACAGAAGAAGGGGTTACTAGCCCCTTGCTCCTGGTATTTTAGTCGCTCTTAAGACACATATGGCATATGGAGGAAGAATTCTGTTCCACTTCCCCATAAAGATAAGAGGAAATAAACAAGAACAAGAACTAGTAAGAAAATATAAGAAAAACCAGAGGGGTTGAACATGCATGTGTAGTGCGACCTAATATTTATGACTGAGCATGCTTTCTTCATTCTTCATTTTTCTGACTAGAGCAACTGCCAATTGTAGAAGCCAAAATTTGTTTCTCATATATGACGATTCTTTTGTATTCCATATTTTGTGACTGGACTGGTTGACTTTTCTTCTTCTTTGTTTATTTGACATACATTTTTTTTTTATCCCTGGCCTTAAGCTTGTCTCAATTCCTGGTCTCTGTACCCCAATCATATCTACACCTCAATCTGCAGAGGCGTCGTAAGGGGGGGGGGAGCCGCCCCGGGTGACACCATAAAACCTCTAAAGAAGGTGATACTAATGCACAAAACAGTGCTGCACCAAAAAAAAAGAAGCCTTCGTTTCTATATAGCCTATTATATATTAACAAAGTACAAATAAGCCTATACAGTATAGGGAAAAATCATTGATTTTGATGATGTGATAGATGATTTTGCATAATTAAAGGCAAGGAAATGTAAGATCAGATTCACTGAGATGTTACCTGTACTCAAGGTCAAATCGTAACTAGTGTTTCTCTGATATTGCAATGTTTTTCTTTATTTTTCAAGTTTATTTTCTTTTTTTTTTTTGTTTTTTCATTGTTGACGATGAATAAATGTAGGATCTGTTGCCTGTACTCAAAGTGGTATTATTTATTTTATCATTAATAAAGTTGAGAAGTATTCTCCTGTTCGGTTTATGGCCCTTAAACGTTCTCATTGCTAAACATTTGTCACTGACTGGGCATGCAGTAGTGACATAACTGGAGTTTACCCCCCCCATCCCCCCACCCTTGAATTTCATGAGGGTGAGACCAAAGATGCTGCCCTGGGTGACACCAACTCTAGCAACGCCTCTGGCAATCTGTATTTCATTGGTCTTCACTTCCTCAACTGTGTGTTCAAATATCTAGCAAGTTTATTATGATTTTCCCAATTTAGTACATTTGAAGGTCACATATTCCTTTGATGAGTTCCGAGAGTCATTCTACTCCCAAAGCCTGACCATGGGCCAGACGATACAAGAAAACATGATCTACTGTTTGTAAAATTTCAAGTAGTCAAAACTTTTGCCTCTTTAGTAATAATAATTAAATGTGGTGGCACTGAGCTGCAGGAACACTGACCTCTGGCAATATCTTTCAAGTATCTGAATACCTCTTTTTTTTTTTTTTTTTTTTTCATATTGGCCATTCCCCACCTAGGTAGGGTGACCCAAAAAAGGAAACACATTCATCATCACTCTTTCCAGAAGTGCACAGACATTACAATTGAAATGACTCTTAAGAGTTTTTGTATAAATTCACTTCGCGTGTTCACTTTAAGCACACCTGCTATTACGGCATGCGATCCCATTTCTATTAGTAATTCTGTATGTGATATATGCTTGCCATATGCAGTCACTATTATTTGCAAATCATATTAAAGATTCTCATTATGTGGAATTAGTAGATGATGGCCTAGGTGAGCTTAGCAAAGTTACCATGAGCCTGAAACTCAACTATGTACTGTATTAAGCATGGAGCACCTATTAGCAAATGCATAATTCTTGAAGCTGCCACCAAATGCAAACAAGAATTAACATTGCTGTAGGGAACTAAGTCCCATACATTCAGCATTCAAAGATACTATGAAGGAATCTGTGAAATCTACCTTGGGAATTTCTGTGACTCTCAAGAGATACAATGGAATATCACATATAGTAAATCCACTGCATACACACTTACAGAATTATGGCAACTGTCTTCTGGATTAATTTTGAAGTTGTCACTTAGTAGCTCCATTATAAGAATATTCCATAATGTTAACTTTTTTAAACAAGTTTGTGCAATATTTTAATATAGAGTATACAAATTTTTCACGAGACAAGCACACATAAATCACTGAAACTGGCAAAAGAACACCATCAAAATTCCAACTCTTGAAGTGTCGTATGCAACACAATGGCATAAAGCCCTCGTCTTACATTTATCTCATACACAGATATGTATCAGATAATATACCGAAAAAAACTAATAAAGAAGCAAAAAATTTAATATACAAACTAAGAAATAGCAAAATCTACTTCAAGCATGCAGTAAGGGTTTGAATATAATGCCATACTAAAAAGGGGATGAAACATAGTTTGCATACACTGAATACTGAATTGAAAATAAATAAAAAAGGCATAACTCATAGCATAATGTAATTGAATGATAAACTAAATTCTCTAAATTTAACCCTAAACACAATAGATAACTTAATAAACAGAGTAAATGGATAATAAAAAATTAACATATGCAGAAAAGCTTTGTAGGTTATACTACACAACGCACGCACTGCATTAAGAATATGCATGACGGCCACTGAGGTAAAAAGAAAATACTATATATGGCCATCTCCCACTAAGGCAGGGAGACCCAAAAAAGAAAACACATTCATTCAATCATTGCCTTTCCAGAGGAGTGCTGACAGTGCAATCATATTACTCTCCGACTGTAACATCCCTATCCCTCCTTCAGAGCATAAGCACTGCCCTTCTCATTTCCAGGACTCAAGTCCAATGGACCATGAATCCCTTAATAAAAGTTCCCTTGCTCACATTCCAACAGGATGTCCATTAAAAAACCTATAGTCTTCATTCGTTCCTGTCTTACACACTCACACAAACCTGCTGGATGCTAAAGAACCTAAAACTCAAAACCTCCTTTACTTCCCTCCCTCCAACTATTCCAGGAACAGCCCCTACCACTAATACCTTCCATCCCATATTTATACACTCCTTTCGTCATCCTGTTCCTCTCCAACCACTTTACATGTCCAAACCACCTCAACAGCTCCTCCTGAGCCATCTGAATTATACCTACAGTACCCTTATACCATTCATTTATTTCTATGTACTTTAACACCCATCCTCCGTCCACCAAGGTAGGATGGTCTAAAGAAAACACATTCACCATCATTCATTCAACTGATGTCTTCCCAGAAGTATGATGACATCACAATTCAATTTACCCTCCAACTGCAACATCGCTACCCTTCCTTCAGCATGCAGACACTGTTCTTCCTACCTTCAGGACTCGTGTCCATCTGACCAGTTTTCCCATGAATCCCTTCATAAATGCTACCTTGCTCACACTCCAACAGTGTATACATTAAAAACCACTTACATATGTCCATTCACTATACAACATGCTCACACAGTACAGAGTGTATGTAGATAAATTCATTCTACTATGTGGTTACACTGATATGTATGCAATAAGATCACAGTAAACAGGTGATATCACAATATGCAGAACCACCACTGTGAAAATACAGTGAACTTCCATACACTTTTGTGATTTCTCACATTATCAAGGAACTGATGAAGTGAGAAAGCACGAAAGCACTTGAAAGTTTACTATTTTTTCACAGTGGTTGTTCTGCACATTGATGTGTATGTATGAAATGGCAACGGTAACGATATTATAATGAATAATGAGAACAAGTACTAGAGAGGGAAAAGTCTTACGTTCACACCCATATGGCTTGTTATTTGGGTCATCATCATCCTTTTTGGCATTCTTAGGGGTTTTACAGGGAGTCTTGGGAGCTGATTTCTTCTTGTTACTACGCTGTAAATATTTTGGAAAAGTTTATTATTTCAGAAAGTAAATTACTAAATTAAATTTTAATAGAGTTAAGACTTAACACCATTTTTAATTCCATAACTATAATTAAAAATAAAAGCTTTTAAGGATCAATAATACACAAATAACCCGCACATAAAAGAGAGAAGCTTACGACGACGTTTCGGTCTGACTTGGACCATTGACAAAGTTACACAGTGTGACTTTGTCAATGGTCCAAGTCGGACCGAAACATCGCCGTAAGCTTCTCTCTTTTATGTGCGGGTTATTTGTGTATCGTTCCAGTCACGGTATTGTGCCTTTTTTGTTATTTATGATCAATAATATTTTTTAATACAGTAGTACTGTGTATAAAGTATATATGATCTTTTTTCTAATGCACAGTAAAGACTTACAAAGAGGTCTAATATAAAAGGGGTAATGTAAGAGGCATCACTTTCAATAAGAGATGACAAGAGATGCACTGGATTTTTTCTAATGCATATTATGTACTTAAGAAAAGTGTTATGCTTAATGGTACGTATATAGCAGCTGATCCGAGGTAATTATACACGACTCGCACATGCCTTTTTCTTTAGTTGTTGGTTAAGCCTTTATTGTGCCAACACTAAGTATCTTGCATGGGTGTTAATGATTATCTCTTACTTCAATAATAATTAATATAAATTACTCTAATGTGTTACATTATATAGCAGGAGCTTTCTTTTCAACAAATATACAATATATGCATTGTATTTTTTCTAATGCACATTAAATATCTAAGAAGAGTGCTATTATTACAATAGGAGTGTTGTAAGGGTTGTCCTTTTAACAAGTATACAAGAGATACATCGTACGGTAAAACCTCTCATTAACAGATTTCGGCAATTTAGGATAAAATAAATAATTAGCTGGACAAACGCTGGAAGTACAGTATTCAACAAAACGTACAAAAATCTGTAATTCTGGATTTTGTCCATAGCAATTGTGTCCTGTTGTCTTCCGAAGTACTGAACTAAGCCCAAAGACACCAATGTTTGTCAGGTAGGGGCCAGAACTGCCTTGTACAAGACCTGTCCACTTTCAATGTTCCCTGAGGTGTAGGTCACCTGCTCCAGTGTATTGTTCTCACTCAAGCACACACTCGTCATTCAGTCTCTAATTTTCCCTGGATTCAGAGCATTTAGTGGCTATTACATATTAAGTAAAGTGCAATTAACAATAGCTTCTAAAACAAGTGGTGGTGCCAAGAGAAAACATGTGGTTGTCAGTATTAAGAACAACCTTGAACTATTAAAGAAGATTGAGTCTGGCATCTCAGTAGCACAGGGATGTAAGGAATATGGTGTTAAGAAGCAAGAACAAACTTACAGACTATGCTCTTAAGTTTACTACAGTTCCTCTGACTCAATCACAGCAATTTACACCTCATCTCTCCACCATGAAAAGCTAAGTAAAATTACTGTAAATTACATACAGTACTATAAAATTACTATATAGTACAGTACTGTAAGACTGCAGGCTACAATACCTGCATTCTTAGTGTCCAGTTGTCTTCTGCATCAGCAGACCAAGTTTACACATTCAGAAAACAACCCGATGATCATGAAAATTAATTTTGTAATTCAGAACTTTTGGATAACTGGCAAAATTGTACATCCCCTGTCCCATTAGTCTGTTAATGAGAGGATTCACTGTACTAAAGTTAAGTGTCGGGAATAAACGTCAAGCAGTGTTGTATGCTCAAGATGTAATAGAGCACTGGCCTTAGAGCTAGAGATGATGTTGATTAGTATTATGACCATCATGGGGAGGTGCTAAATTCAGTATGCAAAATAGTCCATATTATCTTAGGACTCATTTAGCTAGATTACAATACAGTACATTACTGTTTCCATTAATATTCTATTATTAACTAGTAACTTTTTATTTATTTTGCTAATTCCTTTATGTTTAATAAAAGAGTGCCCAACCACGGTGACATGGGTTCAAAGATGCCTACTACAAACTTTTACATCCCCCAAATGTTGTTAAAACATCCAACATTAGTATACTGAAAAGTTTCTGTAAAGAAAGTTTTCTTCGCATCAATCACAAAATAAGTAATAAACTATAGGAATACGGAGAGCAGAAGGAAGGCCTGCAATGCCTGATCATACCTACTCTCGAAACCTCCATCACCTCTTGCCTAGTCTGTACTTACCACTTCTTGAACTAACACTGAAATTTCCTAGGCTATCTCTCCTAGTATCTCAAACAGCTCATCTTTATCCACTTCATCTAGTCTCCAGAGTATTTTGTCTATCATTCCTTTCCATTCTCCTCATCCTCTCTTCTAGTACTGCAAGGTTGACATCCTAGTAATTTATATCTTTCAAACCACTGGATTTTCTTTGTGTTCTTGATTAGATGCTAGTACCACATGCTACTCTAAGATGGGCCTAACTGGAGCAGTGTATGATATCCTAAATGAATGTTAGTTAATATTCCTGAAAGCAATTCATAGATAAGCTAGTTTTGTGTATGATGGGTGATACATACATCTGGTGATATGCTTGGTATAATGCTTTCTCACGAAGTTTTTGTATTGAAATTGTGTACAGCATCCCTCCTCCTAGGTCCCAGGTTGCATTCTGAGTCCACTCTCTCTTCCCCTTATATTTTCATTACTCTGTATTTATCCTGAATTCAGGCAGTAACCAGAATACTTTTGTAGTTTGTTCAAGTCATCATGAAGTCTTTCCATTCTCTCATCTTCCTCATTATTTCACCTCTTGCATGTAGTTTTCCAAGTTTTAAGCCTCCAACAGTTGTTGAACTTGCTAATCTTTTGTAACTCATTCCATTAATCTACTATCTCTTTCTACTTATCCTTTCGGTACCTCTTTCTTAAATTATTGTCACTGCTGCTTGTTCTCCCTGTTGGTGACATTAGGAAATCTTTCTTATCAATTCTATCATATCGAAAATAATCTTATACGGTACACATGTGGTAATCATAGCTCCTATTCCACTTCTATCAGCCAGTGAGGGCTTGTCTAAAGAATTCAGACTTTCTTTGTTGCCATTCTGAAATTCACCTTAAAATTTCTTCATCTTTTCCACATTTTTTTGTTTTTAGGTGCAGACACCATTCCACTATTACAAATTTCAAGATAAAGTTGAAATATGTTGTGAACAGTTTTTACCATTTCCCCATCCATACATCTGAAGGCTATTTTAAAATTTGCCAATTAAGTGTGTGGACAGTGTATCCCTTGCAGAATAAACAATTGCAGAACAAACTGTTTTCATTTGTACAATGATCTCCCAAGTCAGGTAAACCAGGAGACCATGCAATGGAATTAATAGCTATGGCTGAATTAAGATTGTTTAACATACCTTTCTAGGCCAAATATTTCTCTACTTTCAATCTAAATATTTTTTGCCTGGAACCATGATCTGTTTTAAAGTTGCCCCATTTGAAATGGTATTTTTTGTTTTCAGAACCATCCTACAAGGCTTGCCCGTACTGTACTCTACTGTTCTGCATGACATCTCTGACTCAACTGCACCCTCTTCTTCATCTATACAATGATGAATCCAGATTCTCATTTTAAACAGTCTCTCTCTCTGCCCTACTGAGTCATCCAAGTATCTTTTATACCATGATTATATCCCTTCTGCTCTTCCTTTAGTTATCTCCATCAGACAATGATTTTAGCTCTAGGACTAGTTTCATAGTGAAGCCTGGACTTCCTTTAGTTTCATGCTAGTATTAAATACAATGAAGTAGGTCTGATGTGCCATTTGCACGGTTTTTTGTTCCTCTAGCACAAAGACAAGACTCCCCTAAAAATCATTTTAAAAATGGTCACCATGAAGATATATTCCCCAGTTACAATACGACTCTAAAGTCTATTAAGATATGGAAATGTTTAAAAGTATTAAATCAATGCAAAGTGGAATTCTCAAGCTATAAACAGAAAAAAACATGAAGACTATATAAGGAAAAAGAATCTCAGAGGGGCACCTACTAAACTAAAAATAAATCAGATATACAATAAGATAAAAAGAATACGTACATTCATGAACTACCCCCCCATCCCTCATCTGAATGGAGATCTAAAATTAATTAGTACAAAACGTTTCAACCAGGGATACAGGATAATCTAATTAATATTGTTTTAGTATTGTATCCTCATTTTATTTTCAACTCTTATTTTTTTTTTTTAACAAGTCAGTCATCTCCTACCGAGGCAGGGTGACCCAAAAAAAAAAGAAAATCCCCAAAAAGAAAATACTTTCATCATCATTCAACACTTTCACCTCACTCACACATAATCACTGTTTTGGCAGAGGTGCTCAGAACACAACAGTTTAGAAGCATATATGTATAAAGATACACAACATATCCCTCTAAACTGCTAATATCCCAAACCCCTCCTTTAGAGTGCAGGCATTGTACTTCCCATTTCCAGGACTCAAGTCCGGCTATACAAAAATAGCCGGTTTCCCTGAATCCATTCACTAAATATTACCCTGCTCACACTCCAACAGATCGTCAGGTCCCAAATACCATTCGTCTCCATTCACTCCTATCGAACATGCTCATGCATGCCTGCTGAAAGTCCAAGCCCCTCGCCCACAAAACCTCCCTTACCCCTTCCTTCCAACCTTTTCGAGGACGACCCCTACTCCGCCTTCCTTCCCCTACAGATTTATGCGCTCTCCATGTCATTCTACTTTGATCCATTCTAGTGACCAAACCACCTCAACAACCCCTCTTCAGCCCTCTGACTAATAATTTTATTAACTCCACACCTTTTCCTAATTTCCACACTCCAAATTTTCTGCATAATATTTACACCACACATTGCCCTTAGGCAGGACATCTCCACTGCCTCCAACCGCCTCCTCGCTGCTGCATTCACAACCCAAGCTTCACACCCATATAAGAGTGTTGGTACTACTATACTTTCATACATTCCCTTCTTTGCCCCATAGATAACGTTTTTTGTCTCCACATATACCTCAATGCACCACTCATCTTTTTTCCCCTCATCAATTCTATGATTAACCTCATCCTTCATAAATCCATCTGCTGACACATCAACTCCCAAGTATCTGAAAACATTCACTTCTTCCATACTCCTCCTCCCCAATTTAATATCCAATTTTTCTTTATCTAAATCATTTGATACCCTCATCACCTTACTCTTTTCTATGTTCACTTTCAACTTTCTACCTTTACACACACTCCCAAACTCATCCACTAACCTTTGCAATTTTTCTTTAGAATCTCCCATAAGCACAGTATCATCAGCAAAAAGCAGTCTGAGCTTGCTACCATCTGCAGCTCATAAGACTGCCATCCCCACGAGCCCCTTTGAGGCGGGGTAGATGGCAGACCAGAGGCCTAGCTTCTTCCTACGAGCCCCGTGAGGGCGGGGAATGTGGCTAGGCCTGGGGACACTTGGTCCCAAAGATGAGGAGGTACTTGTACCTCCTCCCATGGGAGACTTAAGTCTCGAGACACTCCCCAGATAGGGAGCCAAGGCCGGGTCACCACTACTTGGAAAAGACCCGGGCCGGGAGAATACCGGCGAATAAAAAAAAAAAAAAAAAAAAAAAGCAAAAAGCAAGTGTCAATTCCCATTTTGTATATAATTCCCCATAATTTAATCCCACCCCTCTCCTGAACACCCTAGCATTTACTTCTTTTACAACCCCCATCTATAAATATATTAAACAACCATGGTGACATTACACATCCCTGTCTAAGACCTACTTTTACTGGGAAGTAGTCTCCCTCTCTTCTACACACCCTAACCTGAACCTCACTATCCTCATAAAAACTCTTTACAGCATTTAGTAACTTACCACCTATTCCACATACATACTTGCAACATCTGCCACATTGCTCCCCTATCCATTCTATCATATGCCTTTTCAAAATCCATAAATGCAATTAAAAACTTCCCTACCTTTATCTAAATACTGTTCACATACATGCTTCAATGTAAACACTTGATCTACACATCCCCTACCCACTCTGAAACCTCCTTGCTCATCCGCAATCCTACATTCTGTCTTACCTCTAATTCTTTCAATTATAACCCTACCGTACACTTTTCCTGGTATACTCAGTAAACTTATTCCTCTATAATTTTTACAATCTCTTTTGTCCCCCTTCCCTTTATATAAAGGGACTATACATGCTCTCTGCCAATCCCTAGGTACCTTCCCCTCTTTCATACATTTATTAAACAAAAATGCCAACCACTCCAACACTATATCCCCCCCCTGCTTATAACATTTCTGTCATGATCCCGTCAGTTCCAGCTGCTTTACCCCCTTTCATTCTACGTAATGCCTCACGCACCTCCCACACACTCACATCCTGGTCTTCTTCACTCCTAAAAGATGGTATACCTCCCTGGTCAGTGCATGAAATTAGCGCTTCCCTTTCTTCGTCGACATTTAGAAGTTCCTCAAAATATTCCCACCATCTACCCAAAACCTCCATCTCCCCATCTACTAACTCCCCTACTCTGTTTTTAACTGGAAAATCCATTCGTTCTCTAGGCTTTCTTAACTTATTTAACTCACTCCAAAAATTTTTCTTATTTTCATTAAAATTCCTTGACAGTGCCTCTCCCACTATCATCTGCTCTCCTTTTGCACTCTCTCACCACTCTCTTCACCTTTCTTTTACTCTCCATATACTCTACTCTTCTTATAACACTTCTGCTTTGTAAAAACCTCTCATAAGCTAACTTTTTCTCTTTTATCACACCCTTTACTTCATCATTCCACCAATTACTCCACTTTCCTTCTGCACCCACCCTCCTATAACCACAAACTTCTGCCCCACATTCTAATACTGCATTTTTAAAACTTTTCCAACTCTCTTCAGCCCCCCCCCCACTCCTCATATTTGCACCAGCCCACCTTTCTACCAATAGTTGCTTATATCTCACCCGAATTTCATCCTGCCTTAGTTTATACACTTTTATCTCCCATTTGCTTGTTTTTGCCATGTTCTTCTTTTCTCATCTACCTCTTACTCGTTCAGAAAATTGAGTGTCTGTAAGAAGCAATAATTATTCATAGCCTTGCATACCTGGACGGGGTCAACATCCCCCAGTGCCCGGTCCACGACCAGACCTCGTAACATAATGATAGTTGTTTAGCAACAGCTTCAAGACATTGAAATCAAAATCCTCACCACTTATGATATTCTTTTAATAGAGGTAAAAAAAACATTCTGTACAAGATAACTATTTCCCAATTAGACACAAGAGTAGATAGTGTATGTTTCAAAATGCACAGCATTTTGGGCAGTCTTATGTTTAGAGCTAATACTAACAATATAGAAATTAGAAAAATGTATATTAGATAACGCATATAAATGCAGCACAAGCTAAAATATTAAATTACATAATGTTGCAATGCTGATTTTAGTGAAATTTGAGCATTCAGTGAAAGACTATTAAATTAAATTATTTTTAATAATTAATGATGTAATAATGGTTGGGGAAATGATTAAGTAAAATTAAAAGGAATATGGTGAAATTAATAACTTGGTTACATTATAAATTGTTACAAGGAAATACATTAAGCACACAGTTATCTTTTCAGATTGTTTAAAATCACTGCTACAAATTTTTAAGTAATCTGGCAGGTTATTCCACATTTTTGGTCCCCTTTATTTGCATGGAGTTTCTAAAGATTCAGGCAAACACAGAGAATATCAAGAGGCATTTGTTACACGTGTGATGTCCGTGATATCTGTGTTACAGATATCCAGGAAGTGTCTTAGGTCAGCATTGTTGTTATAGTGTAGTGTTTTGAAGATGTAGCATGAACAGTAAAATGCATGGTTTAGGGAGCTAAATAAGGACATTAGCTGCCTAAAATTTGAGTTTGTGATGGTTCAGATAACTACCTTTACTTATGTGATAACTGGCTTGAGCTAGAACCCCAGATACAAATTCCATAGGTGAGGTATGGATCAACAATAGTAGTAGTTAGACAGAGTGGGAAACATAACATCTAATTTTGGAGATTTGGATCCTTTTTTGAAATTAGCTGGATATGAGCTGTGTGCTGGTATCTGTTAAGATTTCATGCAGCTATATGCAAGCCCTTAGAATTCATAGTGATAAAATTTTGTGAAGATTATCTTGTTCATGTCAACAGACCATAGCATATCAGCAGAAAACTGAACTGGTTACACGCTCCATGTGCTGCACCAACTGTGTTGGGCATTTTTATGACTGCATCATTAGTATTTTTTGGGGTCTTAATCTAAACTGGCAGAGTTGGCACATTATGCCTAGTTAAATATGGCTGTCTGTATATCACTTTCTCAAGTATTTTTGATAGCATTGGCAGGTTAAATACTGAGCAGTAATTGTTAATTAATGTAGGTATGATCACTATCTTTCTGGATGGGTGTTACCCTGGCTCTTCTGAGATAGTTTGGAAAGGTGTGTTCCTCACATGATTGGTTGAAAAATGCTGAAATAGGGAGAGATAATACTTGTGTAGCTTTCCTGTAGATAATGGTGGGTATTCTTTGCTATTTGCTGACTTTTTTATTAATTTTATGAGTGATGCTATTTCAGAGATTGTAGAATAAGCCAAGTGGGAGCAACTTGGGTAATTATCAGTCAGACAGCTGCCGTGGTGGCAAGGGCCTCTGGGACATTTATAAGATTAGAGAAGAAATTGTTAAACCTTATTTGAAGTAACAGTAGTTGAGAGGGAGTTGTCTTAATTGAACTTGCTGGTTATTAACATGTTTTCTAGGTTGTCACTGCAGCTTAAGTTGGAGCAAGGGATTCTATAAATTACCTCAATTGTTATTAGATTATTGGTATTGTTTTTGATGAACTAAGCAAATATACATAGTCAGTACACTCATTGCTGGTGTTGGTGATATTGATATTATTGAATTCATCAGCATAAAAAAAATAGCAGTGCCTCCACCTTTCTTGTATGTTGTACAGCTGCAGATAATCATATAACCAGGTATGGCGGATACACTAGTGAAGTTGTTTTTAATCACGTCTCTGATAACATAAAGGAAAATGGGTACTCAGTGATTTGAGCAATGCTACATTATCATGTCCGTTTAGGGGCATTGTACTATAACTGAACATACTTAAAAAAAATTTATTACCAAGGATTCTTTTGGCAGAGTTTGCTGTATGGCACTTGCAAGTATGGTGAGTAGGTTGTTCATTGCTTTATACGCTCTTTTAAAGAGGCTAAATTCAAAATCAATGTATGTGTGTGTGTGTGCATAAAAGAAAAGCTATGTAAACCTTTATACAATAGGGGAATATAAGAATGTGACAAGTGTGGATTTCAAAATAAAAAAATATAAGAATGCAATAGCTAGACACTGAGATTCTTAAATTATTTGAGCAACAGAAAGAATATTGATCTTGTACTGAGGTTATATAGTGGGAAATTATGGACAAGTGGTAAATGGTGCAATTAAATACTGAGAGGTACTGATGGCTTTTTGGCAAAGGAGTCTAATACATACATATAAAGATACCATAAAGTTAACAAATACCTTACACTACATAAATAACTATTCAAAAAAGCAAAACGATTACTTATATACACAAAAGATAATGCAGCTATTACATCATTATTAAAATATTCACTAAACAGTTAATTTTAATAACATTTAATCCAAGGAAGAGGAGGGTAGCTCAAATTCCTTGAAAACAGAGTCCTTCACCAACATCAAGGCACCCTCCTTTTTTAAAGGATATTACACAATAAAATTCCAGACATACCTGCACGTTATTCTCGGACGTCTTCTTTTTGGTGGTTTTCTTAGGAATTCCACCAGCAGCCTCATTGTGGGCATAAACAAAGGAGTTCACTATAGTGAGAAGGAAAGGTTGGCAAAGATTTTACAATATACCTGAAGATGGTGTGTACTTGACATACGTCCTACAGTAAAGTGAAGAGTACCATCAACCTCTGCTCTAAAGGAACACCCAGCCTCCTCCATACAAGTATTAATGTGTACGTGTAATTATGGCATGTTGCTAAATAAAAGTTGTGGTGTAAAATCTTTTAAGTGCCTTTGGGAGTATAGCAAGGAGTGCACGACAATTTTTTTTAGCACACTGGTCGTTTCCCACTGAGGTAGGGTGACCCAAATGAAGAAACACTTTTACCATCATTCACTATCACTGTCTTGCCAGAGGCATGCCTATACTACTACAGTTCAGATGTCCTGCCAAACTGCAAATATCCCCACTCTTCCTTCAGAGTGAATGCACTGTACTTCCCACCTCCAGGACTCAAGTCCAGCTAACCAGTTTCCCTGAATACCTTACCAAAATGTTACCTTGCTCACACTCCAACAGCCTACCAAGTACCATTTGCCTCCACTCACTCCTGTCTAATGCCAATTGCAATGTGTGCTCATGAATAACAATTTAATGGAGGAAACACTTCTAATAATCCTGTGCTTGATAATCCAAGCACATACAGTAACTCTGATTTCTTAATGTCTTGATAGCATTCATCGAGCAACAAGGCCTTATGCGAGGCAGTGTTTATAGAGTAAATTCAACATCCGAGTTCCTTAGAAACACAGATAATGCATGCAAGGAATCAATTATTTTCAGTCTTTCTTTTTTATAGTTTTTGTCTACATAGTGTTATGACATTTTAATATATTAAGGATGATGAGTCTACCTGTAACTTTCAGTAATGCCACATATACCCCAAGAACTTCCCAGCCAGGAAGCTCACACACTTAAGAACTGTATACTTAACACTTATTTCTTCTTATACTCTTAAGTGATATTAAGAATTGAAGATGCTGTCATCATTTTATAAGGCAATTTACACCCTCATAATAAGGCTTATATTCATGTTGTAGGAAACCCAATGAGAATGAAACATAATACTACACTACTGTAAGTTTTATAGAAGCATACTGCACAGGAGGTAGAAAAAGACCATTTCTTCTCAAAATATTCACTGTAGTGAATAATTACCATTAGTTTTGGGAAAATTTAATTGCTATCATCTTGTTCATTTAGAGATAAAATTTGGATGAGGGCAATTCAATTTTCACTGAAATACAGTATTGATAATTAAGCAATGTGATAAATATTTTAAGAAAAAGTGAATACCTCCTACCTTCTATGAAGACTATACTACATATGCAAAAAAACACTGATTGTGATTCCATGCAAGTATTTAACAATGGATGCAAAAAATACACATGAGGATGAAGAGATGCCTTAAGAAAATAAGGCAGACATGCAGCTCAATTCAATACCTTACTAAACTGAAAAAACAAGTGAAAATAAAACAAGACTACGGATGGAAACCGGGAGGTGGAAAAAGATAAATACATGTACAGTCAAACACAGTTATCATGTGCACGCTAATTCTGGCTGCTTGGATATTGTTTCTGTTCTTGTTGTTGGGGATTTATAGAACCTGTGAGTGCTTTTGGTACATTAATCCATGCTTCCCAGTGTATCAGGAAGAAGTTTTACTCAAAGCTGGATGATGAAAGGAAAGGGAATGGTTCCTTTTGCAGATAGAAACAGGAACAAAAAGCATTCCCAAATGGGTCAAGTAGACCCCTTTGCCTCAGCTCTGGCAGAGTGGGACACCTATACCCTCACAAAACAGTGAAATATTCACAGAACAGAAAAAATGGAGCTGCTGAATGGTGCACCTGCCTTTAATGTGCCCAGCAGCCAGGACAAGATGAGGGAAAACATACCCAAGAGAGTGGGAAAAGTTTGTCACTGATACACAGGTGAGAGTCAGACATATGCACTCTACCTAAACTGGCAAAAAAGTCTGTTTCTGTTGCCAGGATTAATACCGGAAGTTGGTTTCTGAAGATTTTGTACTCTGTACACTTTCTGTAATTTTTTATATATATATATATTTTTTTTTTTCAAATTATGACTGATGACACCACACTACACCAGGGTGTAACCATCTTGCCTTTAAAGCTAACAGAGGCTGACCGCAAATGCTCATCAGTCATTTTTGGCTGGGAAAACACTTACTGTTATCTTAAGTCAATGTGTACATTACAGATATTCTGCTCATCCATAAAGTATTACACTAGGTATATATCCTGGTAAAGCATTTAATAATGAAGGAGAAACCAATAACACCTTTTGTCCAATGTTTATGTCATTTTGTAAGTCTAACAGTGATTTTCTAATAATTGTAGTACTGTATTACACCTGGTGTACATGCTGGTTGTTGGCAAGACACTTGGTTATTCTCGAGGAATCAAATTGTGCTGAGCCTGACAGACATTGTGAATCTTGCATCAGGTGCATTATTATTACATATTATATTTAGGGGAAAGCATCACACCCATTTGAGTCATACGGTGCCTATATTATGGGAGGCAACATGGTTCAATCAAAGGAAGGAGAGAGGAGCCCAATTCCTGAGATCAAGAGCCCCTTACCAGCATCAAGTATCCTTCCTAGAGGGGTACACCAAGAGTAGATCATCCTGTGAATAGTGTGCTGTAATTACACATTTTAAACAAATGCTACTACCCCATATGACTTGTATAATGTTTAAGTGTATTCACTGTACTTGCAAGAAAATACCAAACATTTATTGTTAAATACCATATTTTGTTGTTCACCTTAAAAGTTTTTTATTGTTCTATACCAGACAGCAAGCTATTCCCAATTGCCTCTAGCCCTGATAAAGCCTGATTAGCAGAGTTAGGACTGTAATGTAATATTAAATTAATACAGTGTATTAATATAATACATTTATGGAAACATTAGGTAGTAGGTTGGTAGACAGCAACCGCCCAGGGAGGTACTACCGTTCTGCCAAGTGAGTGTAAAACGAAAGCCTGTAATTCTTTTACATAATGGTAGGATGCTGGTGTCTTCTGTCTGTCTCATAAACATGCAAGATTTCAGGTACGTCTTGCTACTTCTACTTACACTTAGGCCACACTACACATACATGTACAAGCATATATATACACACACACCCCTCAGGGTTTTCTGCTATTTTCTTTCTAGTTCTTGTTCTTGTTTATTTCCTCTTATCTCCATGGGGAAGTGGAACAGAATTCTTCCTCCGTAAGCCATGCGTGTCGTAGGAGGAGACTGAAATGCCGGGAGCAAGGGGCTAGTAATCCCTTCTCCTGTATATATTACTAAATTTGAAAGGAGAAACTTTCGTTTTTCCTTTTGGGCCACCCCACCTCGGTGGGATACGGCCAGTGTGTTGAAAGAAAGATTTATGGAAACAGGTGAAACACAAGAAAGAGAGAAGACAAGCTTTCTATGAATGCTAAGCAATGGCATGATACTAATCATAACAGATAACATTAGTGGGTAACAATACACTGCATACTATTGCATCAAAAATAAAAACAGAGCAATAAAATGTATTTAAATACAGTATAAAATAATTCTTAGAGTCCAGTATAATATAAAATTGGAAAATGAGGTAACTATGTACAGTATATATGCTCCTGATATAATTTTTTTTTTAAACAGTAGCTGCCTCCCACCAGTTAGGGTGACAAAAATTTTTCACCATCATTCATTCAATCAATCAATCAATAATTGTCCTACCAGAATCATGCAGACACCACAGTTCAGATGGCCCTCCAAACGGCAACATTCCCAACTCTGTTTTGAGAACAGGTGCTACACTTTCCATCGTCGATGCTCAAGTCCAGCTAACCGGTTTCTCTGAATCTCCTCATAAATGTACCTTGCTCATATTCCAGTAGCATGTCAAGTCTTGAAAATATCTTTTCTCCACTCATTCCTATCTAATGTGCTCGTACAAGATTGTTGGATATTTAACCTCCTAACGCTTGAAACCTCCTTTACTCCCTCCCTACAATCCTCCCTGGGGTGACCCCTACACCCTTTCCCTCCATCCCGGCTTTATGTACCCTCCTAGTCATCGTATTTTGCTCCATTTTCTCTAAATGCCAAAACCACCTGAACTACCACTCCTCAGCCCTCTAAATTATATATACTTCTGATAACCCCACAACTTTTCCTTATCTCTTCTAATACTAACTTAAATTTATTCTAGAAATGAGTAGAAGATTGCAGAGCTGCTTCAGGTATGATGAGATTTCAATATATTTTGATATTATTAATCAACAATTATTGGTGTACAATTTGTAAAGGCTTAACATTCTGAAGAATAAAAGTCATACTATCATAGCTGGAAAAATTCACAGCTAACTCACAATTTGGAAAGGAAACCTGAGAAAGGGTTTTGGTCCATCCTGGACCTGGATTTCATACTTGTCTTGGAAGGACCAAAAATACTGTCTAAAGTTGACTCTCCAAACTGTGGGTGGACTGTGACTTAAAGTACCATATATTGTTTCGTGACAAGCTATCAGAGGCATCCTCAATGGCAATTCCACATGCTTTTAGGATTGTTGAGTTTTTTATCGCAGCATCCACTTTCCACTAAGTTAGGGTGATCCAAAGAAGGAGACGCACTCACCATTGTTCAATCAACAGCTGCCTTGCTAGAAGTGTGTGTGGACATCACAATTCAATGACCCAACAAACTGCAACATTCCCACCCATCCTTCAAAGTGCAGGCACTATACTTTCCACCTCCAGAACTCAAGCCAGGTTAACTCGTTTCCCTGAATCATTTCATAGATATTACCTTACTTACATTAGCATGTTAAATCTTATAAACCACTTGTCTTCACTCATTTAACTTAACAAGCTCACACATACATGTTGAATGCTCAAGTCCTATTCTTGCAAAACCACCTATAAGGAATGCTCCCTACACTTCTCTTAACCTACTCCAAATTTATACACCCATCTTGATGATCTTTTCTTGCTCTTTCCTTTCTAAATGAAGAACAATCTTAACCTCCCTACTGCTCCCTGAATTATACCTTCCACACTACCACATAATCTCTTCATCCCTTATTCTCTGCATAACATTCTCACCACATTCACCTCAAACATGATACTGATACTGCCTCCAACCTCAGCCTCACTGCAATGCCACAATACTTTCCTTGGGGAGGAATTCAGCAGAATAGTTCTCCACAAGGAAGTGGAACAGAATTCTTCCTCCGTAAGCCATGCATTTTGTAAGAGGCGACTAAAATGCTGGGAGCAAGGGGCTAGTAACCCCTTCTGTATACATTACTAAAGTTATGAAGAGAAACTTTTGTTTTTCTTTTTGGGCCACCCTGCCTCGGTGGGATACAGTCGGTTTGTTAAAAGAAAGAAATTCCGTTAGTTCGTGGATGAGTTTGGAAAGAGTGCAGAAGAAAAAAGCTTAAACTAAACACTGTAGATGAATGGTTCAGAGAACTGACATGTTGATAAATTAGACACATGTGCAACTCTTGGGTATCAATAAAGATACCCAAGAGTTGCACATGTGTCTAATTTATCAAACTAAACACTATAGAAAAGAGGAAGATAATGAGAGTTAAAAGTAAGGCAATGAAATATTGGATATTAGACTGGAGAAAGGTAAGGAGAATGGAATAAATGAATATATAGAGATTTAGAAGAGAATGTGCTAACAGTTGGGACTATGAAATATGACAGCAATCAGAAGAACAGTTGAAGGAAAGGACTATCAAGAGAAGAGTCCATCAATGGATGCAAAATAGAAGTAGGTATTAAAGTATAGTATAAGTGAAGCATGCTTATTAAATATTGCAGCAAGAAGTTTGGTGACTGGCAGTGATGATGCCATATCCAAGATCAATGTGAAATAACATTAGAGACTGAGGCATGGTCTTTCAATAAGGCAGTGAGAAGTCTGCTGACAGTGAAGATACTGTATCTGAGACCAGTGTGTGAGAACATATAGCTGAGAAATAGTCTTTGAATGTTGAAGAAAGAGAAAGCTGGTGGCAGTGCAGACGCCATATCCAAGACCATTGTGTAAGGAAAATATTAGAGGCCGAGGCATGGTTTTTAAATACCGTGGAGAGCGAGCTGATAATAGTGCAGATGTCATGTTTGAGATCATTTGAAGAGAATATTACATCAGCCAATATCTCACTGGAAGATGAAATTAAATAGCTCAATTAAATTAGAGCTGAGAAAGAATTCTATTTTCACTGAATGTATCTGAAGTGAAAGTACCCATGAAATGTAAAATCTACCAGTTAATCAGAGAACATTAAACTATAAACAAGTCAAATGAAAACAGCCTGGGAAAAATACCAAGGTACAGTGTGTACTAAACTTAACTTTAATGAAAAAGTTAAAATATCCTTAAATACTTAAATCTAAAAAAAAATATAAAAATCCCAAAAATTTAAGTTCTTTACTTAAAATTAAATATTTAGATTTTGGACAATACAACAAGGCAAACGTGAAAAAAATTAAATACCCTTATAACTCTGATTATGGTCCACCATTGAGTTTTTGTTGCCGAGGGCAAAATTTATAATAAAACAGACACAAATTTATCTTTAAGCCTCATTTAACTTATTCATAATTTTCTCAAAATTTAACAAGAAAAATATTTTGTTTCCCACTGTTGTTATCACACAACAAAAATTACAGTACTACATAACTACTACAGTGCAGTCTTAACAAGATAGTATTTATCACATGCATTACATAGCAAAACCTTACTACAGTACAGTATTACATACTATAGTTTTCAATGAACATATTAGTATCCATCTGTTTGCAAATGTGAGTGAGTTAAAAATCTAAGAAGCTGAACTACTTAGATAAGGAAGGAGAATGCAAACAATCAGATGCATACCTTAGGTTTTCTTCCTACTGGAGCCTTCTTTCGTTTGCTGCCCTTGCGATTGTATGTTTCATCATCAAAATCCTCCTCGGACTCAAATTCATCTTCTAACTCTTCTTCAAAAGGAGGCTCCTCGTAGAAAGTTGCCCACTGCTCTGGCTAGATGATCAAAACATCATCATTTTATTAAATATCAAAGCAAGATCTTTGAAGAAGATTGACAATGGAATGAGGAATTGCAGTTTTATGATACAGCATGGAAAGCATTATAAATTAGGCTCTCGAGTCTCAATTATTGTTTTTCAATACCATTCCCTTTTAAAGTACTGAATTATGTGAGCAAAATGGTATAGACAATGGATGCCAATTAGGTAAGTAGTAATGTAATGACATTTTAGCATTATGTCATTACTTACAGCTCAAAATGGAAATAGCAGACAAGACGGGATGTACTAAGTCAAAGAACTGCTACTAGTTTACCCTTGTTCCTAAAGAATCCACATATATCATTCAGTTTAACATTGAGCTTTTTTCATTTCTGCCAAGTACTGGCACTCTCTATACCTTAAAGGGGTCTTAAACCTTTATTGAAAGTATGCACAAGGCAATGCCAAGAGGGAGAACTGAACATCTTAACCAGGCATTTTATAGCTTTACTAAGGGTCAAACGCTGATTTCGCTCTTACTATTGGCAACACCTTATATGTATTTCAGTTTTTGAGAGATTTCTATTAAGAACAGTTTGGGCATTCTGACTGTTGACCTTTCCAAATCTCTGATCAAAATTACCTTTAAAAAATCTTGTATGAATAATGCATTTCACTCACACTCACACTCACTACAGTGAAACTTGTTAGATCTGATCTTCAAATGACCAACTTTGACAGATAGCTTGACTGAAACTGATTCAAAATTTAAAAATGTTAATTGGGATGGGAGGGTGGCCATGAGCAGACAATGTGAAAATCAGTGGGTTTTTGAGACTCTAAATACATATTGTTTTTACCACCTCAGCTGTGTTCTACCAAGGAAGGATGACTCAAAGGAAACATTCCCCATCATTAATTCAATAGCTGTCTTGCTAAAATTGCACAGATCTCATGATTTAAATAACCACAACATCCCTACTTGTAATATTTTCCTGTACCTTAAAAAACACTAAACTTGTATGGGTCATTAAGAACTGTTTTCTTGTACCTAATGCACAATATCAGTCTTCATACAACTCACTAAACCACATGTTAAAGTAAGTAAATATGAAAAGTTACTGTGTATAGTACATAATAAATATGAAGTGTTTTAAAAACATCCATGGCAGTGCTTAACAAACTCCATGCATGGGATTCAGAGAGAGAGATGACAGGGCTCAATCACATAAGTCAGTGGAATCACAAGATGGGACCAAGAGCTAGAACTCTTCTCCTCAAGCTCAGGCAGGTCTCAGTCTCAACTTGGCTAGATCTAACAAGTTTTACTGTAAGCAATTCTTTGCTTAACAAGTTGTAATTTGTATTATTATTATATTATGCACACAACTTGGTTTATCCCTGGCTAATAAAATGCCACTTTTTAAAAATAATAATTAATGGATGTCAACATCACAAAAAATCTTATTTATAATTTATTTATAATACTAATTTATAACAGAAAACACAGACATGCATTTATAAAAGGTCTTAAAATACCTTGCTTTTATGGTTTCTTTTATTTGTCCTGCACTGTTACAACAAATACCACAAGCAGTCTTACCAATATCACTTTTTCTGGTTGAAGAACAGGTTCTTCAACAACAGCAGCAACAATTGCTGCAGGATTTTCCACTGTTGTAATTGTATGCTCATCTGGGTCTGCTTTAGCTGCCTGAAAAATTGAGAAAAAATTGGTAGTACACAATTGTCATGTACAGCTGTTGATCTTGAAGATTAAAGAATATGCTGACACACAAAGGAAAACTCCTATAATCAGGTTATTAATAAACACCAGGAACAATATGGCACCCTAACACTGATCCTTAAGAACTCCGCTAGCCACTGACTGTTTAACACTGTTCCATAGTTTCTACTTAACATTAACATAGTGCTGATAGTCGATATTCTCTAGAAATCAGTATGACCAGCCCCAAGAATGTTGACTTTTAAAGTTAACTCTACTATTATCAGGCATAAAATTGCAGAGTGAAAAACTAAAATTACACAAACATTGATCTATGTAAATATGATCTATACAAAAAAAGTTCCACACAAGTATCTCTAAAGTGCACTCTGCCTCACCCCATGTACTTTATATAATTATCTACCCTACATTCATTCTTTTCAAAAAAGTTCCATAAACAGCACAAGGAAAATGCAAAACACTATATAAAATTTTTTCTCTGTACATAAAAATTGCTCCCTGAAGTGATGGATGCCTGTACATTATGTACAATGAATTTTTTTTTTTTATATCATTTACAGGCTATGTGCCATTATCCTATCTATCATCCTGTAAACGTTTAAAGTCATTTTTATTATTTTACAGAAGATTCTGCATCACTTGAAAACACATTCATATAGTTTACCTATCCTTTTTGGTAAGTTTTTCACATAAATTAACCCTTTCAGGGTCCAGAGGCCAAATTTCAAAGTGCGCACCAAGGTCCAAGAATTTAAAAAAAAAAATTTTTTTCTTTTAAAATGGTAGAGAATCTTTTTCTGTAGGTAATAAAACAAAAAGTACGAAATTTGATGGAAAACTGACGAAATTATGCTCTTGCGAATTTTGATGTGTCGGCGATATTTACGAATCGGCGATTTTGCCGACTTTGACTCCCATTTTACGCCAATTACATTATTCCAGTTGACCAAATTCTTAGCTATTTCACTAGTATTACTTCTATTCTATCGATTGAGCACAAGAAATTGCCAAGTCAACTGTTTCAACTACAAAATAAGTGATTGGAAATTGGTAATTTAGCCAATTTAACATAAAGTTCAAAATACTCCAATTTCAAAACAGGGTCGAGAATAAACAATGTAGGTATTCCTGGCACTAAACTAACATTTCCTCTGTACATTAGTTATGTTTTGAGGCTTTACAAATGAATTCCATTTTGATTTTTTATTCACACAATGAATTTTTATTCAAACCCAAAAAATAGAAGATTTACTGTTATGCAATATTGTAATAATTGTATAAATATCATCACCACATTTGTGAATGTGTATTAGACCCACCAGCTGGAGTGTATTAGACGTGTGAGGTCGTTTGTATACTCTTGAACATCGGCAAAAATTTAACATTTCCGCTACTTTGAGCTCAGTTTCAAGCCATTTCCAGTGCTAAAACCAATCAAAATCATCTCTATTTCTGTAATATGTCTTCCATTCTATCAAATGAGACCAAGAAATCGCAAATACAACTATAAAAAGCATACGAAAAAACACTGCAAAGTCGCTGTTTTAATAAAAAAATCACGGTCTCAGTTTTTTTCCTCTCATTATACACTGTGCGCTGCAGGATTTGTTTTATGTGGTGCACACATACCAAACAGATGTATTCTCTCACATCTAGGCCCAAATTTACCACTCACAGCCTATCAGAGTGAGCTGAGCTCACGGTGTAGATCTACGGTTTGGGCCCTGAACGTAAAGCCGTAGATCTACAGCACGGACCCTGAAAGGGTTAAAAACAAAGAGGTAAGTAAGACCCTTGTGGCACCCCACGGGTAGCATTTCCCCAAGAGGAAATTTCTCCTCTTATCACTGCTTGCATTTTTCTTTTAAAGTTTCTTATCCGTTTTAATAGTTTCATTCCTCCTATGTTTTGAAATTTCTAAATTTAGTTTCTCATGGGAAACTATCAAAAACCTTCCAAAAATCTAGATAAATATGATCTGCCTATTTAATTTTCCTCAAATAATTTTGGTGACTGTCATAATGCCTTAATAGATCTGATATATAAGAATTCCCAGACTGAAACCTTGACTGTTTACCAGTCAATAGGTAATGTCTTTTTTCAATATTTTTTACAAAAACGCTTTTCAGCAAAACCGACTTATAAGAACATAAGAAAGGAGGAACACTGCAGCAGGCCTGTTGGCCCATACTAGGCAGGTCCTTCACAATTTATCCCACTAACAAACATTTGACCAACCCAATCTTCAATGCCAGGATCTTACCTGGCTTAAACACACTATTGGCATAATGTGTGCTATCTTCTATTGGTATATAAATTTACTCTCTTGTAGAGAAATGCTGAAAAAAATCTAAATTGGACAGCTCAGTTCTTAAGATTCTTTAAAAACCCATTTTTCTATCTTGTCTGTTTCTATTTTATTTAATATCCAGTGCAGCAAATTTCCAAAACAGCTACCATGTGTTACAATGTCAATTACAATAGGATATATTTTGAATACACCATACACAGCTTTCTTAATGAAAAAGTAAAGCCACAGACCATATAAATTCAATCAAGCACCTAAATTACTGAAAACACTTTCAAGTTCCTTGAACAGTAAATTTTTTTTTTTAACAAACCGGCCATATCCCACCAAGGCAGGGTGGCCTAAAAAGAAAAACAAAAGTTTCTCTTTTTAAATTTAGTAATTTATGCAGGAGAAGGGGTTACTAGCCCCTTGCTCCCGGCATTTTAGTCGCCTCTTACAACACGCATGGCCTACGGAGGAAGAATTCTGTTCCACTTCCCCATGGAGATAAGAGGAAATAAACAAGAATAAGAACTAGAAAGAAAATAGAAGATAACTCAGAGGGGTGTGTGTATATATATGCTTGTATATGTATGTGTAGTATGACCTAAGTGTAAGTAGCAAGATGTACCTGAAATCTTGCATGTTTATGAGAGACAAAAGACACCAGCAATCCTACCATCTTGTAAAACAATTACAGGTTTTCATTTTACACTCACTTGGCAGGATGGTAGTACCTCCCTGGGTGGTTGCTGTCTACCAACCTACTACCTACTTGAACAGTAATACGTAGAGGATAAACAAGAAAAATACATCATAATTTACCTCCTGAAAAATTCTTGAGGGATTGGTCCCAAATCTGAACACCAAAATTACTACCTGCAAGAGCAAGATGCTCTGCAGATGAAGCAGGGGTGCAACGAGTACACAAAAAATTCAATGGATGCAGAGGGACAGACTTTTCAACATCCTTCCTTCATATGTAAGGGGAATTACCAATTGACCCTTAGCTGTACTTCAAGAGGGAACTGGATAAATACCCCTAGTTATTTCCTGATCAGCCAGGCTGTGGTGCCTATGCTGGGCTGCTTGCAGCTAGCACCAAAAGTCTAGATGATCAGGCCATCAATCAGGAGACCTGGTCTGGGATCAGGCTCAGGGAAGGTAACACCATGAATTGTCTTCAGGTAACTTTCAGTTAACAGTAAAAAAAAAAAAAAAGGAAAAGAAAGGTAAAAGTCTTAAAGGGTGCTTAACCCTTTCAGGGTCCGTCCCGTAGATCTACGGCTTTACGTTCAGGGTCCAAACCGTAGATCTACGTCATGAGCTCAGCTCACTCTGATAAACTGTGAGTGGTACATTTGGGCCTAGATATGAGAGAATACGTGGTATGTGTGCACCACATAAAACAGATCCTGCAGCACACTGTGTATAATGAGAGAAAAAAAACTGAAATCATGATTTTTCGATTAAAACAGCGACTTTGCAGTGTTTTTTCGTATGTTTTTTATAGTTGTATTTGCGATTTCTTGGTCTCATTTGATAGAATGGAAGACATATTACAGAAATAGAGATGATTTTGATTGGTTTTAGCACTGGAAATGGCTTGAAACTGAGCTCAAAGTAGCGGAAATGTTAAATTTTTGCCGATATTCAAGAGTAAACAAACGACCTCACACATCTAATACACGTCAGCTGGTGGGTCTAATATACATTCACAAATATGGTGATGATATTTATACAATTATTACAGTATTGCATAACAGTAAATCTTCTATTTTTTGGTGTGAATAAAAATTCATTATGTGAATAAAAAATCAAAATGAAATTTATTTGTAAAGCCTCAAAATGTAACTAATGAACAGAGGAAATGTTAGTTTAGTTCCAGGAATACCTACATTGTTTATTCTGGAACCTATTTTGAAATTGGAATATTTTGAACTTTGTGTTAAATTGGCCAAATTAACAATTTCCGATCACTTTATTTTGTAGTTGAAACAGTTGACTTGGCGATTTCTTGTGCTCAATCGATAGAATAGAAGTAATACTAGTGAAATAGCTAAGAATTTGGTTGATTGGACTAATGTAATTGGCCTAAAATGGGAGTCAAAGTCGGCAAAATCGCCGATTCGTAAATATCGCTGACACATCAAAATTCGCGAGAGCATAATTTCGTCAATTTTCCACCAAATTTCGTACTTTTTGTTTTATTACCTTCACAAAAAGATTCTCTACGATTTCATAAGAAAAAATAAAAATTTTTTTTTTTTTAAATTCTTGGACACTGGGGCACCACTTCAGATTTGGGCCTTGGACCCTGAAAGGGTTAATTCTGTTACCTAAATCAGTTGATCACTGATGTGAAGTCACTTACTTGCATAAGAGAACCTAAGTAAGATCGTCTTTGTGTTTTCCATCTTCGTGCGGGATATGTGTAGACCTGTCCTTGGAGTATTCCTGGCATCCGATGCTTGTCACTAACAAAGAGGTGGCAGTGCCGCTGTGCCACACCTGACATGGTTAAAACAACTCAGTGTTATAACTTATTTAAAACTGCAAGCAAGCAGTCAGGAAAATCCTCAAACTGTAAAATATTAGTTTTTTTAAAAATCAAATTTTAGCCAATTTATAGTAATGTGACAGGGCTTGAAACAGAAAAATTTAGAACACGGAATGCAAGTTTTAAAAATTATTCTGCGGCAACTTCACCTTAAAATAATAAGGAGCTGACTCTTCACTAGCAGCCAAGAAAAAAAGCAGAAGAGAATACCCTGTCCATTCCGACCATGGGTACCCAGTAATATTACTTTCTGCCTTAAGTGCAGAGAACACTTAAGTTAATCTGTAGGCTAACTCCAAATGGATAATTTATTGTTTTACATCCTTTGATTCAAAAGAAACCATTATTGGTCTTAGTGAGGTGCAAGGAAAAATAAAGGTGGCCTCTCCCATGGGAGATGCCTAAATCTGGTTTTATTTCCAAAATAATTACCTACTAGCTTTGGTAGTAGTTTACCTGTAGTTGGTTATGAGGTCACCACCTCCACCACCACTCCAGTCCAATAGCTTACTGTGTCAAAGAAGCAGATGGTATTTGGGCTGAGCAGCCTGCATATGCATTGGTACAAATGGTATGGAAACAAATGTACATGTATTTATTTTAGTTGGGCTTATGGTATGACTGGTTTAATTCTCCATTTTTTTTTTACGTTGGGTTAGGTTTCCATATACGTACAGTACAGTACTTCTTTGTTTTGTTTGATACAGCTATGCCATGCAGGATTATTATGAAGATTCATGGAAAGTTCTAAACCTGAAAGGATCATGTGGCACTACATGAAACAGGTGGTAGGACCATGATTGGTTATGTTTGGGTAAGGCCTGGAGACAGTAAAAATTTTATAACATGCATGCCATGCATTCCAACTACCTGTACAGGATGACCCCACACATACACCACCTATTTTCGGTGTTCCACATTTTTCTTGGTTTTCAACTGGGCCACTGTTCCACCTGCCAGTGGGTTTAATATAATGAATATTATATTACATTTAATATAAATATTCATTATATTAAACCCACCTGTTGGTTCAATTTGAAGCCAACGATAATAAGCACACCAAAAAGGTATGGAGACCTCCTGTACCTTCTCTTCTCTGTGTTGACTAAAAATCTTTATGCCTGCTTACCACTGTTACATTGGTAAAAATAAACAGTGAATAAAAATTCCTGAAGGTTTAGTAAATAATATTTTTTGGTTCTCAGTATTTCAGTAAGTGACATACCTGTTTGTCCATCAATATAAGGTTGTCGATATATCCTATCTTTACGGATCCTTACATTATATCTTGCAGAATTTTGCATGAGTTCCTTGTATCCAGTGTCATTTACAAAACTGAAAGATAGATTAAAACAAAATCAGGTAAATGAAAAAGTATATTTTAAGAACAGAAAAAGACAAATGATTATGGAAGGACAGTTGTGAAAGGTATGCACATTCTCTACAACAAAATATCTTACCCTACAGTATCTCCAAAGATACAAGTCTGTCACCTTGAAAACCAAATATCTGTCTCTCCCACTATCCCCACAAAAAAGCGAGAACAAAGCACTACAAAAGTTCTAAAAACAGAATATAACTGGTTTCCATGGCTCCTAAGTTCTATATTAAAGAATGGAGGCCCAACATTAAGATATTAAGCAGAAACAATTCTTGCTGTTTCTCTTTAACTGCCCATTATACTCTTTCCCCATTCCACACAGTGAGTCCTACCACTTTTGCTCCTCAAGCTCACCTAGTAGTATATTTTATTTCCTTGGGCCTGCTGCTCCCTTAACTATTTCTCCCTTACTCTTGCACTTGGCTAATCCCCAGGGATGACCTCAAAATCCCAGGTCTCTTTGACTCCTCAACAGCTCCTCTTTGCCTCCATACTCTGCACTAGAGCATCTCTTCTCCAACGAGTTCTGTCGTGCACTGACATTTGGAGAAACGAGATTGCACACTGAGTATCCACTGTTGCCCACTCCCTCCTGTTTGTTTCCCTGTGCTTGAGCCAGCAACTTTATTTGGCACAGGAAACCAAACTGACAGGACAGCCTGGCAGTTTTCCTTTGCTCCTTGGCACTGGACTCCATTTGATCCTTTACAGGGCCCTACCAATGAGCATGACACTCCTCCCAGGCAATGGATGTGACATTTACATGGCTTCACATAGATCACTCTTGGGTCACCTCCACCTCCTTCTGATGGTTAACTTTCTTGCCTACAATGGTACTCTGATCAGCCTGAAATAATTAAGCAATGCCTCCTTTTGTGAAGAGTTTATCTGAATTATTTCCCGCCTACTGTGTAGTAGAAACTTTTTGAAATAAAGATACCTAACTGTTGCATGTGTGTCTTACCTAACAACCTGTCGGTATTTTATACCAATTTAATGTTCACCCAGGTACCTACTTAACCACTAGGTGAACAGGGATAATAGGTGTAAGGAAACATGTTAGATCCTGGTTCCTCAGTTAAGAAGAGGCCAATTAAGCCATGAGCACCCCCAGGTTCTAATTACCTTGAATCCTCCTCTGAAGGTTCTTGCTTCTTTTCAGCTGCAGAGCCTTGAATCAAGAACCCTTCACCAATGTCAAGACACTCATCTTGAAAGGCAAAATTCAGAAAATTCTCATCTGAATCATATTACCAATGTTTACACGACTTTTAATTGACCGACTTCATTACGTTTCCTTTAAAAGTCTGTATCAACATGGAAAAGGTATATTATTTGAGCATAACATGACTGTAATGTTAAATAATAATCTATGATACTGTCATGTATATTCTAGTGTTATTTTTAGTTTAAACCTGCCAAAAATGCTTTGCATTACTTACTGCTTATGGGTTTATCTATGTAAGAAATCAAACGTAGTTCATTGGAGGAACAACGATTATTTTTATGAAGATAATCATTAGATTTAAGAAGTGGCAAACCCATTAATTACACAGAACCTGAGGGAATGGAAGGCAGTCAGGTTTGATCCAAAAAAGGAGATGTCTTAATTCCTTGCATCAAAGCCCCTCACTGTCCTGAGGGGTAAGTAGGTTAGTTTATTAAGACACAGGTACACATAAGTACAAATTATCATAGTGTAAATTACCTACGATAACCCAAAAAAAAGTCAATATGACCTTTTCAATGGCGTAAGGTTAATGGTTGGTTTTAAGCCTAAGTAAGTTTATTTAGACACAAGTACACACAAGCACAATTATCATACATACTATAAATTATGTAGGACAACCAAAATAAAAAATAAAAGTGATTAATATCCACTGAGGTCTAACTAATTCTTCTTTGATTATTAAGACAGCACTTAACCTTATTACCAGACAATACTTTAACTCCTTAACTAGGGATTAAAGTAATCTCATAGCATATATACGATGAGAGATATACACCTCTCTGTGTATATATCTTGTCCAGAGGGGGTTAAATACCTCAGGAAAAGTCTGGTGTAAAAAAAAAAAAAAAAAATCCCACTGCGGTACTGGAGTACAGTCTCGTGTACTCTCGAAATACTCAAATTTGCTGACAAATCCGACTCACCTTAATATCTTCTCTAGTGCCGAGTTCTCGACTGTTGCCAGTGCCATCATCAGCGCACTCTTCCAGTGACTAGTTAAAGTAATAGTGAGTAAATAAGGGAGTAAATAAGAGTCACATCATCTTTTGTTTACGCTGCAGCCGCTGACGCTCTCTCGCGTTCATCACTCAACTAAATTTTCACCTCATTACCCACATTTACACTTATTTGCCATATGTAACACCAAAATTATTATTTAAAAAATAAATTAATGAATATTTCCGTGTTGAGTTATGATATTGAGTGTATATGAGGTATAAATTAATTTAAAAAATGGCATTCTCGCTGCTCCACAATGTTTTAAGTTATTTTTTTAAATCTTGTGGTTTATTAAACTTATTAGGTTATATGATGTCTTTTTATGTATATTTGAAAAGATATAGTGTTTATATAGGTGTTTTCAAGTTCCGCTTGACCGAAATGCTTTCCCTAACCATACAGGCTTTTTCAAAAAAATTTTAAAAATTATTCCCACCCAATATTGCAACAATTATGTCCTATTTTGAAGATAAAATTGTTTGTGAGGACTCTTAGTTAAAATAAATCCCATAGTTCAACCTCCCTCGGATATTCCACGTTAATTTCTACTAAAGTCAATTGATAAAGCCATTGCAAAATAAAAAAATAAATCCTGTATGAACCTCAATAAAAATATAAATAACAACTATTACTTCCTTATTTATTCACTGACCACTAAGTTATTTACCCCCAGTGGAAATAAAATACATTGGCTTACTTTATTGGGCTAAGTTATAATAATAATAATAATAATAATAATAATAATAATAATAATAATGATAATAATAATAATAATAATAATAATAATAATAATAATAATAATAATAATAATAATAATAATAATAATAATAATAATAATATCTTTATTTCTACAAGTACAAGGTATACAGTCCTACCTGACATCAATGGAAAGGACCACAATGGCAATAAGCCACTCTGACTTTTTTGGGTTATCCTAGGTTCTCTACACATATGCTGCTATGTATGATAATCTATGTAACTGTATTTGTGTATACCTGAATAAACTTACTAATGACATACTACTATATAGAAAGCCGATTGTTTGCAGAGCATTTCGGGCAAATTAGGTCAGTTTTGTCCCAGGATGCGACCCACACTAGTCCACTAACACCCAGGTACATGCCCGAAATGCATAGACAGTAGGCATGCTAGTGGCCTTGGAGCTTTCCTGGAGAGAATTCCGGGGGTCAACGCCCCCACGGCCTGGGCTGCGACCAGGCCTCATGGTGGATCAGGGCCTGATCAACCAGTGTGTTACTGCTGACTGCACGCAATCCAACGTCTGAACCACAGCCCGGGTGGTCAGGTACCGACTTTAGGTGTCTGTCCAGTGCCTGCTTGAAGACTGCCAGGGGTCTATTGGTAATCCCCCTTATGTATGCTGGGAGGCAGTTGAACAGTATTGGGCCCCTGACACTTATTGTGTTGTCTCTTATCGTGCTAGTGACACCCCTGCTTTTCATTGGGGGATGTTACATCGTCTGCCGAGTCTTTTGCTTTCATAGGAAGTAATTTTCGTGTGCAAGTTTGGTACTAGTCCCTCTAGGATTTTCCAGGTGTATATAATCATGTATCTCTCCCGCCTGCATTCCAGGAAGTACAGGTTCAGGAACCTCAAGCGCTCCCAGTAATTGAGGTGTTTTATCTTCGTTATGTGCGCCGTGAAGGTTCTCTACATTTTCTAGGTCAGCAATTTCACCTGCCTTGAAAGGTGCTGTTAGTGTGCAGCAATATTCCAGCCTAGATAGAACATGTGACCTGAAGAGTGTCATCATGGGCTTGGCATCCCTAGTTTTGAAGGTTCTCATTATCCATCCTGTCATTTTTCCAGCAGACGCGATTGATACGATGTTATGGTCCTTGAAGGTGAGATCCTCCGACATGATCACTTCCAGGTCTTTGACGTTACTTTTTCGCTCTACTGTATGGTTGGAATTTGTTTTACACTCTGATGAAGTTTTAATTTCCTCACGTTTACCACATCGAAGTAAATGAAATTTCTCATCGTTGAACTTCATGTTGTTTTCTGCAGCCCATTGAAAGATTTGGTTGATGTCTGCCTGGAGCCTTGCAGTGTCTTCAATGGAAGACACTGTCATGCAGATTCGGGTGTCATCTGCAAAGGAAGACACGGTGCTGTGGATGACATCCTTGTCTATGTCAGTTATGAGGATGAGGAACAAAATGGGGCCGAGTACTGTGCCTTGTGGAACAGAGTTTTTCACCGTAGCCGCCTCAGACTTTACTCTGTTGACTACTACTCTTTGTGTTCTGTTTGTTAGGAAATTATAGATCCATCAACCAACTTTTCCTGTTATTCTTTTGGAACGCATTTTGTGCGCTATTACACCATGGTCACACTTGTCGAAGGCTTTTGCAAAGTCTGTATATATGGTGGCCCGGTGACCTGGTGGCTAAAGCTCCCGCTTCACACACGGAGGGCCCGGGTTCGATTCCCGGAGGGTGGAAACATGTCGACACGTTTCCTTACACCTGTTGTCCTGTTCACCTAGCAGCAAATAGGTACCTGGGTGTTAGTCGACTGGTGTGGGTCGCATCCTGGGGGACAAGATTAAGGACCCCAATGGAAATAAGTTAGACAGTCCTCGATGACGCACTGACTTTCTTGGGTTATCCCGGGGTTAAAAATCCGAACGAAATCTTATCTTATCTTATCTTATCTTATTACATCTGCATTCTTTTTGTCTTCTAGTGCATCTAGGACCTTGTCGTAGTGACCCAATAGCTGGGACAGGCAGGAGCGACTTGCTCTAAACCCATGTTGCCCTGGGTTGTGTAACTGATGGGTATGTAGATGGGTGGCGATCTTGCTTCTTAGGACCCTTTCAAAGATTTTTATGATATAGGATGTTAGTGCTATCGGTCTGTAGTTCTTTGCTATTGCTTTACTGCCTCCTTTGTGGAGTGGGGCTATGTCTGTTGTTTTTAGTAACAGTGGGACAACCCCCGTGTCCATGCTCCCTCTCCATAGGATGTTAAAAGCACGTGATAGGGGTTTCTTGCAGTTCTTGATGAACACGGAGTTCCATGAGTCTGGCCCTGGGACAGAGTGCATGGGCATGTTATTTATCGCCTGTTCGAAGTCATTTGGCGTCAGGATAACATCAGATAGGCTTGTGTTTACCAAATTCTGTGGCTCTCTCATAAAAAAAATAATTTACATCTTTGACTCTCAGTCTGGTTAGCGGCTTGCTAAAAACTGAGTCATGTTGGGACTTGAGTAGCTCACTTATATTCCTTGCTGTCATCTGTGTAGGACCCATCTTGTTTAAGTAGGGGCCCAATACTGGATGTTGTTTTCGACTTTGATTTGGCATAAGAAAAGAAATACTTTGGGTTCCTTTCGATTTCATTTATGGCTTTTAGTTCTTCCCGCGATTCCTGACTCCTATAAGATTCCTTTAGCTTTAGTTCGATGTTTGCTATTTCTCTGACCATGTAAATCACACACTGTAAGCTTTACAGGGAAATAGACATTGTGATTTTATACTGATGGGTGAACTGGGGACAGCAGGTGTCTTATGGAAACACGTCGCTAATGTCTTCCAGTCATACCCGAGATTCGAACTCCGGACCTCAATGAGTGAATTGAGTGCGCTAACGATCGAGCTAAGTTACAATGTAAGACATTTGCAAAAAAAAAAAAATGTGGAATGAACGTGAATAAAACTGACTTATTTACTTAATACCAGCCTGATTTTTTTATTTATTAGTTTTATTTGTTTAAAGGTGTAAATGTAATGCGCAGGCGCAGGACTCAAGTTGCCATTCGTATGATAATTATCGTAATGTACGATAATTATGATACATGTACGATAATTTCAACTACTCAGATATGGAAAACTTGAGGAATTACAACTGGATCAAGGTAGAAAACAAATTCTAACCACACAATAGAGGAGAAACTAATGTGAACTAGTGTCTGGTGTAATGGGGAACCCATATCTTCAGTTTCCTCAGGAAAAATAAGTGTATTTGTGTATACCTGAATAAACTTACTTGGGAGTGATAATGTCAAAGGATCTCACCTTCAAAGACCACAATAATGTATCTATCACATCTGGTAGAAAAATGATAGAATGGATAATGAGAACCTTCAAAAATAGGGACACCAAGCCCATGATACTTCTCTTCAACTCGCTTGTTCTCTCTTGGCAGGAATATTGCTGCACACTAACTGCCCCCTTCAAGGCAGGCGACACTGCAGATCTGGAGAATATACAGAGAACCTTCACAGCGAGTATAAGTACGATAAAGCATCTAAATTACTGGGAACGTTTGAAGTCCCTTGAGCTGTACTCCCTGGAAAGCAGGCGAGAAAAATACATGATAATATCACTTGGAAAATCCTGGAGGGATTAGTACCAAATTTATTCACGAAAATCAATCCCTAAGAAAGCAAAAGACTGGGCAGGAGATGCAACATATCCTGCCACAAGTACACTAAGAGACAATACAATAAGTGTCAGGGGCCCAAGACTGTTCAACTGTCTCCCAGCATACATAAGGCGATTACCAATAGACCCCTGGCTGTCTTCAAGAAGGCTTTGGACAGGCACCTAAAGTCAGTACCTGACCAACCGGGATGTAGTTCGTAAGTCAGTTTGCGTGCGGCCAACAGTAACAGCCTGGTTGATCAGGCCCTGATCCAGCATGAGGCCTGGTCACAGGCCGGGCCGCGGGGACGTTGACCCCCAAAACCCTCTCCAGGTATATGTAAGTTAATTAGCATGCATGTATGTTGGCTATCATATATGTATGCTAATTATCATACATATATACTAATTAAGTATACATGTACGCTAATTAACATACAGGTACACTAATTATCATACATGTGCAATAATTTTCCCACATGTACGATAATTTTGATTGGGGCAATATACGAAAACTTTAACAATTATCGTACATCTTATACGACAATTTCGGGTTTCAGATCCTGAAAAATAAAATATTTTTTTTTTTTTCAATAATTAACATCAAGTTGCATGTCAACAGAGTTAATATTAGTTTATGGAATTGTTAAATTATTGATAATTTCACATAAAATTGCTACTAAATATATCTTTATTAATTTGTTGTACACATGGTCCAAATAATTTATCTTGTCTAGAGTGCAATTATTTTATCAGTAATTTACATGTAGTCTGTATTATGCAATAATCGCGAACGAGCGATAAATAACCACAGGGGAGTTGAATGATAGCTCTAGGCCTTGGGTGTTGTAATCAACACATCATCAGGAGCTTGCAATGTTGCAGAAACGAATGGGAAGTCCATGCAGATTAGTCCAGGGGAAAAATCCCTTGATTGCAACATGAGAGGCCTAGAGCTACAATTCAACTCTATGGTTATATTGCATATAGTTCTCGTTTAATAAATCATTGTTAATCACAAAATTAAGTCACAAGTATGCAATGCATTTAGAGCAGACTGATCCTAATACTTGAAGACTAAATAGAAACTAGTATTTCTTATACAGTTAATTATCATATATACAATTAGACAGGTAGCTAGTGAACAAATGGTACAATTTTGAACTGATTCAATGATCTTCATGGGCCTAGTGGCCCATGCTAGTCAGGTTCAGGTCATACACTGGCCTAAGCCAGTTAGGTCCAACTTCTGTGGGAGTTGGAGGAAGAACATGGATAGAATTAATGCATATAAGTAAGTTTATTTAGGTACAGGTACATGTAAGTCCAATTACCATACTTCCAATTGAAATACAAGGAACCCAATGGAAATACAAGGACTTCAATGGAAATACAAGGACCTCAATAGAAATCCAAGGACCACAATGGAGATACGAGGAGCTCAATGGAAATACAAGGACTCCAATGGAAATGCAAGACTTCAATGGAAATACAAGGGGTCTAATGGAAATACAAGGACCCCGATGGAAATACAAGGACCCCCAATGGAAATACAAGGACCACAATGGAAATACAAGAACCCCAATGGAAATGCAAGGACCACAATGGAAATACAAGGACCTCAATGGAAATACAAGAGCTCCAATGGAAATACAAGGACCCCAATGGAAATAAAAGGACCTCAATGAAAATACAAGGACCCCAATGGAAATACAAGGACCACAATGGAAATACAAGAACCTCAATGGAAATACAAGGACCTCAATGGAAATACAAGGACCTCAATGGAAATACAAGGACTCCAATGGAAATACAAGGACCACAATGGAAATACAAGGACCTCACTGAAAATACGAGGACCATAATGGAAATACAAGGACCACAATGAAAATACAAGGACTACAATGGAAATACAAGGACCACAATGAAAATACAAGGACCACAATGGAAATACAAGGACCACAATGGAAATACAAGGACCACAATGAAAATACAAGGACCCCAATGGAAATACAAGGACCACAATGGAAATACAAGGACCACAATGAAAATACAAGGACTACAATGGAAATACAAGGATTACAATGGAAATACAAGGACCCCACTGGAAATACAAGGACCACAATGGAAATACATGGACCACAATGGAAATGCAAGGACCACAATGGAAATACAAGGACCCCACTGGAAATACATGGACCACAATGGAAATACAAGGACCTCAATGAAAATACAAGGACCACAATGGAAATACAAGGACCCCAATGGAAATACAAGGACCCCAATGGAAATATAAGGACCTCAGTGGAAATACAAGACCCCAATGGAAATACAAGGACCACAATGGAAATACAAGGACCCAATGGAAATACAAGGACCTCAATGGAAATACATGACCCCAATGGAAATACAAGGACCCCAACGGAAATACAAGGATTCCAATGGAAATAAACCACTTTGATTTTTTGGGGTTACTCTAGATAATTTATTAAGTTTACTCAGGCACAGGTACACATGAAATAATCACATAAATTATCATACATAACAGCATATATACAGATATCCAGGATAACCCACAAAAAAAAGTCAGACAAAGTGACTTATTTCCATTAGGGTCCTTGTCATATCTAATTATTTGCATATATTACCATATATAATAATTTGTGTAACTGGATTTATGTGTGTCTATGCCACAAGAAACTTACTGACAAATTTACACGAAAAACGATTATTTGGTGAGTGGAGTACAATAATTGTGGTTAATAATCCGTGGCAACCCTGGCCAGCCCAGCAAGTTTGAATGTTGAGGCCAACATTGACCGGGTTTTTGAAGCATTATTGTGTTTCCTCTTTTAACAGTTGGCATACAGCTGTCCTACCATCACCATCACCATCTGTAAGTTGTCTAGAAGTGTTGTAAAGGTGATATATGAAGGAATATATGCATTTATTACAGCACGAGGACACCAGTGGACAGAAGTGGCTTCGACTTTTTTGGCCCCTCAGGGAAGGTTCCTTGATGTTGTTGAAGGGCTCTTGATTTAGGGAATTGGATCTGTGCTCCAGTTCCCCGAATTAAGCCTGAATGCCTTCCACACCCCTCCCAGGCGCTGTATAATCCTACGGGTTTAGCGCTTCCCCTTGATTATAATAATAATCGACTTTTTTGGGGAGGTTTTTTTTAGTATTTTTATTGTACACCCTACACACATCCTGCCTTTTTTTTATTATCCTAGGTAATTCACACACATGTTACTATGTATGATAATTTGTGTAACTATTTGTGTGCCTGTACTTAAATAATCTTAGATTATTCATAATTATCGGCTGCTGGACGGGAAAAAATGTGACTAAAAGGCTGAACTTTTCAGTTCTAAGAAATAATTAATATCCAGCGAGCTTCTTTATTCATTGCTGTATGGCCCTTGTGGTTTAGCGCTTTTTTGATTATAATAATAATTCTTTATTCATCCAAGAAGAGGACTGGCCAGAAGACCTTGCTGGAAGTACATTATTATTATTATTATTATTATAATCAAGGGGGAAGCGCTAAACCCGTAGTATTATACAGCGCCTGTTGGGGGGGGGGGGATGGAAGGTATTCAGTGTTAATTCAGGGAACTGGAGCACAGATCCTGTTACCTAGATCAAGAGCCCCTCACCAGCGTTGGAAGTAGAGAATTTTGATATCAAGAGGTCGTGTTCTCAGTTGGGAATTAAGTCACTTTGACTTTTTTTTTTTTTTGGGGGGGGGGAGGGTTTATCCTAGGTTTAGTTTAATATGTTTATTATGCACACTATACCCATCCTGTGGGAGGTAGTCAAAAGATTACAGAGGTACATAATGGGTCCAGGGACTGGACCCCAAAGTTTTGATAGCTGAGCAAGTTAGAGGTAATGAACTCAATTACAGAGGTAATGAACTCACAATTTACAAAGGTAGTGAACTCTAGGTAGGTCTGGTCACAATCATGACAAGTTACAAAGGTATTTACAGATTACAGAGGTATGTAATGGGTCCAGGGACTGGGCCCCCAAAGTTTTGATAGCTGAACTAGTTACAAAGGTAATGAATCCTGTAAGAATGGTTACTTACGTTTATACATGGCTACAATCATGGACATCCTACGTTGTCTACACATATGCTGATTTGTTTGATAATCTATTTAACTATTTGTATATACCTGAATAAACTTACTATTCCGAAACGTTTCGCCTACACGGTAGGCTTCTTCAGTCGAGTACAAAAGAGTTAGGAGAAGCAATAAAGATGTGGTTTAAAACCACACCTTACTGCTTCTCCTAACTGGTCAGTCCTGAGGGGCTGCAGAAATAAGCATAGTGAGAAAAGGGGGCTGATGTATGGTGCCTCAAATACAACACATTTTTTTTATATCTCTATGCCGTATAAATAATGTAATTTACATATAAGAAAACTGGTAGGGACAAAGCCACCAATATGCAAAGTATTTCAGGCAAACTAATCCTAATGGTAAAATATTTTTTAGGATTTACACATACTGTTAAATATGCATTTAACTACAGTCATATGTATAATAAAGGTAGATAGTGAACAAATGGTACAATTTCAAAAGTATAATTTATTATTTCAAACTGATTCAGTGATCTTCATTTTTGTGGGATGATTGAGGAAGATTGTATTTTGTTTCCTAAACCTTTCAGAATTTAAAGTAAATGTTCGAACCCAATTTGTTAGTTAAATTTTTTTACGGGTTTCGTTTTAAATTTCAAATTTTGTTCATGAATTTGTTACACTTGGCAGGGGTGATTGTGGCTGGTAACATGGATGTGAGTGAAGAAACTGCCAGTCATTGGGAGCTAAGTAAGGAAAATATTCAGCCTTTGAAACAGGGAAGAAAAGCCAGAGTACTCACCATGGCCTTGGATGGAAGTGCTGCACAGAAATTAAATGCTGCTAGGCAGTAAGCAAGATTTTTTTTTTTTGTTTTAATTCTCCCTAATTTGGAAATTCCATAAGGTGTTGCTGTTTATCATGTATACAGTGTTAGTTTCCAACTGGAAAAGTTTGAATAGTATATAATATAAAGAAGGGGTCATTTATAAATCATCATAAAAAGGGGGTTAAAATACTGTATTAGTCTGGCTTTTGTACTAGTCAGTGCTCAGTATATACACTATCTTAAACTTTTGTATTTTTTATTGCAGTATAGTTCTGTTGAGAAATTTATATTTGTAATTAGAGGTATTGTAAATATTGTAGTAATGATTTTAAATAAAACCTTTAAATTTCAGAGCATTTGAAGAGGAAATCCTTACATATTCAGGGGATGACCCTCTTGATGTATGGTATCAGTATGCTCTCTGGACTGAGCAGAATTATCCTAAGGGAGGCAAGGAAGGAAATATAAAGAAAATAATAGAGAAGTGTATGAAGGCAGTTAACTTCGATGCTGAAAGGGCTAACAAATATAAAAATGACCCTCGTATATTGTATCTTTGGATTAAATACGTGAGTTTGTGTAAATGTAATTTATTTTTTCCAAGTGGAACTTGGCCATGGAGCTTTTACCAAGTATTTCTTTTAATTTGATGCTGTAGATTTATGTTAGACTTTGTGGGTATAGTTGTAGTCTATATTCTCCAAGTGGTTTATTATCTTATAACACTGATGATATACATGTGAACTGACGGGATCATGACGGAGATGTTGAAAGCAGGGGGGATAGTGTTGGAGTGGTCGGTGTTTTTGTTTAATAAATGTATGAAAGAGGGGAAGGCACCTAGGGATTGGCAGAGTGCGTGCATAGTTCCTTTATATAAAGGAAAGGGGGACAAAAGATATTGTAAAAATTATAGGGGAATAAGTTTACTGAGTATACCATGTAAAGTGTACAGTAGGGTTATTATTGAAAGAATTAGAGACAAGACAAAGAGTAGGATTTTAGATGAGCAAGGAGGCTTTAGTGGTATGGGATGTGTAGATCAAGTGTTTACATTGAAGCACATGTGTGAATAGTATTTAGATAAAGGTAGGGAAGTTTTCATTGCATTTATGGATTTAGAAAAGGCATATGATAGTGGATAGGGGAACAGTGTGGCAAATGTTGCAAGTGTATGGAATAGGTAGTAAGCTACTTAATGCTGTAAAGAGTTTTTATGAGGATAGTGAGGTTCAGGTTATGGTGTGTAGAAGAGAGGGAGAATACTTCCCGGTAAAAGTAGGTCTTAGACAGGGATGTGTAATGTCACCATGGTTGTTTAATATATTTATAGATGGGGTTGCTGTATAGCCCTTGTGGCTTAGCGCTTCTTTTTGATTATAATAATAATAATAATATAGATGGGGTTGTAAAGGAAGTAAATGCTGGGATGTTGGGGATAGGGGTGGGATTAAATTATGGGAATCAAATACAAAATGGGAGTTGACAGTTTCTTTTTGCTGATGATACTGTGCTTTTGGGAGATTCTAAAGAAAAGTTGCAGAGGTTAGTGGATGAATTTGGGAGTGTATGTAAAGGTAGACAGTTGAAAGTGAACACAGATAAGAGTAAGGTGATGAGGGTATCAAATGATTTAGATAAAGAAAAATTGGATATCACATTGGAGAGGGAGTATGGAAGAAGTGAATGTTTTCAGATATTTGGGAGTTGACTTGTCAGCGGATGGGCTTATGAAAGATGAGGTTAACCATAGAACTGAAGAAGGAAAAAAAGGCGAGTGGTGTGTTGAGGTATCTGTGGAGACAAAAAACATTATCCATGGAGGCAAAGAAGGGAATGTACGAAAGCATAGTGGTACCAACACACTTGTATGGATGTGAAGCTTGGGTTGTAAGTGCTGCGGCGAGGAGGCAGCTGGAGTCAGTGGAGATGTCGTGTGGCAGTGTGTGGTGTAAATATTATGCAGAGAATTCGGGTTGTGGAAATTAAGAGGAAATTAAAAGTATTAGTCAGAGGGCTGAAGAGGGGTTGTTGAGGTGGTTTGGTCATTTAGAAAGAATGGAACCAAGTAGAATGACTTGGAGAGTGTATAAATCTGTAGGTGAAGGAAGGCAGGGTAGGGATTGTCCTCGAAAAGGTTGGAGGGAGGGGGTAAAGGAAGTTTTGTGGGCGAGGGACTTGGACTTCCAGTAATCATGCATGAGCGTGTTATATAGGAGTAATGGAGACAAATGGTTTTTGGGACCTGATGAGCTGTTGGAGTATGAGCAGGGTAATATTTTGCGAAGGGATTCAGGGAAACCAGTTAGCCGGACTGGAGTCCTGGAAATGGGAAGTACGTATAATGCTTGCTCTTTAAAGGAGGGGTTTGGGATATTGACAGTTTGGAGGGACTTCTAAACTCTCGTATCTGAGTGCCTCTGTAAAGACGTTGGTTATGTATGAGTGATGGTGAAAGTATTGAATGATGATGAAAATATTTTTTCTTTCTGAGTTTTTCTTTCCTTTTAGATCACCCTGCCGTCTCCCACCGAAGCAGGGTGACTCACAAAAGCAAAGAAGCACTTTCACAATCATTCAACACTTTCACCATCATTCACACAAAACCACTGTCTTTGCAGAGGTGCCCAGACATAACAGTTTAGATGTTACTGCAAACAGCCAATATCCCGAACCCCTCCTTTAAAGCGCAGGCATTGTACTTCCCACCTTCTATCTAACAAGCTCACACACGCTTGCTGGAAGTCCAAGCCCCACGCCTACAAAACCTTTACCCCTTCCTTCTAACCTTTTTGAGGATGACCCCTACCCTGACACTTCCCCTACAGATTTATATACTCTCCAGGTCATTCTACTTCGTTCCATTCTCTCTAAATGACCAAACCATCTCAACCCCTCTTCAGCCCTATGACTAATGCTTTTAGTAACTCCACACCTCCTAATTTCCACACTACAAATTCTCTGCATATTATTTACACCACACATTGCCCTTAAACATGACATCACTGCCTTCAGCTGCCTCCTCACTGCAGCATTTACAACCCATGCTTCACACCCATATAAGAGTGTTGGTACCACTATGCTCTCGTACATTCCCTGCTTTTTAGAGGGAAGGAGGGGAAAAGGCTCACCCTTCATTGGTAGGAGACAGCTGGTGTGGTAACAAGAAAAAAAAAATTGTAATGATGCATAAACTTAAGACATGTATGAACAGAGTGGGGGGGACATTTTCCAAAATGAATAAGCATTATTTAATAATTTGTTGAGCTTAGTGTCACAGTTGCTTTACTGGCAATCTTGAGCCTAAGTAAAACAACAAAACAGTGTTTGCTTAGTACGATGGTTTGCCACATTGATAACCGAGCTTTTTGTTGGTACGTTTTTGACAAGCTTTATTTCACAGGCTGGTCTGTTGCCAAATCCCATTGAAGTTTATCAAAGTTTAGAGGCCAAAAAAATATGTGTGGTCCTTGCTGATTTCTACATAAACTGGGCCTGGGAGATGGAAAAAATAGGGAACTTCAAACGAGCTGATTCTATCTTTCGTAAGGGCATTGAACTTTGTGCAAAGCCAGTCCATGTTCTTGAAGAAGCACACATGTAAGTTTCTGAATTAGATTTTTTACTGGCACATTTTCTATTCTTGATGACTTATGTTATAAGCCTTAACACTTAGAATTGTCTAAACCAACATTGCTCCCAGTGTTCTAATTAACGTCTAAATATATAAGCTGTACGGCATGCTCTTTCAATCAAATGATTTTAATCTCGGATATTACCCTGTTTCATTTTTTATTTTGAGTATTATCACATAGAAGGGTTTTAAAATATTAAATTCTTAAGTATTTATGTATGGTCAAATAAAGTATGTACTGTACCCTACTTGCTTATCACTTGACCAGAAGGATCAGTAATCCAGATGATGCTTGGTCCCAAGCATTCTGGAATATTGATGTTCTGCTGTTGTTAAAATACAGTAACTGGAAGGAAAAGCCATGAATTGAAGAACTATAGTTAAGAGGATGAATGAATTTAATTTAATGTATGATTGGATGAGGGAAGGTTACAGGAAGAGTAGATGTGAAGATAAGGAATTTAATCAAACAGATTTCACTATAGTGTAAATTTACCATTGTGTACAGGACTCGTTGGTGCACACACAGGTTCACACCCAAGATTATGATTTAGGAATGCCAATGTACAAACAAACATTTATGTTCATGTGATTATATATACACAAATCTAATATAATAAAAATATGCAGTAAAATTTGAAAGAAGAGGTTAGTGAAGAGGTGATAATTAACAGGTTTAAACTGAAATTAGCTCCTTCTATACTTTGTCTATTTTGCAGTCCATTTATCTTGTCAAATTATTTTTCTTTTTAGCTTGCCCAGCAATTCTTTGCATTTTATTCAAGTGAGTGTGAGTCAGAGCTGCATGTTATGTCATTTTCCAATTTGCCTATGTTGTTTTATGCTCTGTAAATTTAGCATTTTTCAGTTTCACTTGTCTGTTATACTTCCTCTTAATCTCTGTTTATGTATTTACTCTTCCCTTAGATATCTCATACACTTTACATCCTGGATTTATGTACCCTCCTGGTCATCTTATCTTACAATAGCCTTTCAAATAAGCAAACCATCTTGGCCCTTTTACCACTTTTCTAGTAAATGTTTCATATTGCCACACCATTATTGTTAAGAAAGTTGTAAATATATATTTTTTTTATTAGGAAATTTCAAATGAGAGTTGCAAGGTCTGCCATAGATGGAAGATCAGTGGACCAAGAATCGAGTGCAGAACCACATCGAACAGCCTTCAACTCTCTCAAACCCCAGGGTCGTAGTAATCGTGTTCCCTATGAACGTGTGGGATCATCTGTTATTGGACCTGCAGGACGTGTTCTCCAAGATCGACCAAGCAGTAATGCTGGAGGCCCTGTATTTTCAATATTCCAAGTAAGCAGTAGGCCATTGATTTTTTATCTAAATTTACATAGATACATTTTATATAGTATGTACAGTATATCATTTCCACGAGTGTTACTTTATTAACAGATGAATACCTCTATTTCCTTCTGTTATAACAACTACTGTTTTATCACTTTAGGTACTTCACATATAATATAATACTCATATTACAGTAGATCCCTTGAGCAACATGGGGTTGACATTCCTGGAAATTGGTGATCTGTACAGATTAGTGTTAAAAAAAGGGGGAGGGGGAGACCAAGGGTTATATTCCTTGGATTCCAGAAAAAGAATTCTGTGATGCATCTCTGCTCTGTTTTACCCAGCAATTTTTTATATGGCTTATGGTAGGTCTTCATAGCTTGCTTCAAAATCCTCTTCGCAGCAAAGCTTCTAGATGTGTCAGTCCACTTTAGTGTAAAAGTCTGCAAGTTTATCTTTCCTCTTCCATTTTTAGTTCCCTTTCTTCTGTCACATTTGCCCTATTTAACTGTTCTGTGATTTTATCCCTTTCTTCACTGCTAATTGCTGCACTTTCTCTCCAAAGGTAATTGAGCTTTTCCTCAAACTCTTCTCTGTTGGATCTTTGGGCCCACTTAAAGCACAGTCTGCATAATGAATTTCCATAAACCTTCAATTTTCTGTTGCATTGACCCCCAAGTTCAAAGTATTACACTTTCTAATGTAACGTTAAGTTCTTGACAACATTGTATGCCCTCATAACTGTCTCATCAGTATTAAACACTCAAGTGGTAGCATTGCAATTATTGGAAGGGAAAATTTCCCACCCTGCACCCTCTCAGGGTTTCTTGTGCCACTCTTGATCCTATCAGATTATGGCATGTGCATTGAATTTCTTGACTCGAATAAAATTGTACTTGTGTAGTTACTATTTATCAGTTGTTTTGCTGAACTTTCATTTTCAGGGATTGTGTATTCTAAGAGTTTATTGTAATATGGTAATAGTTACATGATAATCATATTTTTCTCTCTTCTTAAAGGCAGTGGAGTAAAAAAGATTTATTTTTACTTTTATATTAAAATACTACATAATGCATCAGTGAAGAACCTAATAGTCCATATACTTTTAGAATGAACTGAAATTGAATGCTGAGACAAGGGAGACCAGAGACTAGTGTCAAGGAGGGAGACATCTTACAGAATTGGACACACAATCTTCACATTGATTAAATAACTAGTTTTATTTTGTTAATATATTATCATTTGAGGATTCTTTAGGTTCCCCTGGTCATGTTAAATTTCATTAATATATCATTTGTAGGACCCTAATGCATCTGCTGGCCATCCACATCATTCTGAAGATGGAGACGGCAGCTCTGTTCCTGTTGGAGCCAGTGTTAACCAAGAAAATCTTAAAAATCCAGGAAAGTGGACTAAGTCTAGGGTCAGTCAAAAAGCCAGTAATATTGTACCTGTGGAAGATCTTGGTAAATATCAAAAACCTGCATTTTCTGGTAAGATTAATTTTGTTAATTGTAATGCAAGTTTTTGTGATTTAATTATTGAAAATACAGAATTTTATATGCTGCACATATTTGCAAGAAATTTTTTATTCAGTATTATACTTTTTCCCTCTTTTTTTTTATTTTTCAGTACATGAGGATGAAAATGCATCTCAACCTTTAACTACTCCAGCAAAACTTCCTTCAACAAGTAATGTTTTATCGGCAATCAAAGACCAGTTTAAAGATTGGCATGTTCCAATGTTTATTCCAGAACCATTTGACCCTAAAGTTCAACCGCAATATTGTAAACATAAGGTAAGGTGGAAATTATCTGAATATCAATACGAGGCATTTACATAGATAAGTCACAGATTTTGATGTTATAATTCAGTTGGTGGAGTCTCCTCTTATCCCCTCTCTTCTGTTTTGTTGGGGCATGGGCCAGTGTGGTGAGTAGGTGGAATCTGATGATGGGAAAAAGGTGAGTGGTGCACTGAGGAGTCTGTGGAGACAAAGAACTTTGTCCATGGAAGCAAAGAGGGGAATGTATGAGAGTAGTATAGGTATACTAATGCTCTTATATGGGTGTGAAGCATGTTGCAACAAGAAGGCTGGAGGCAGTGGAGATGTCATGTCTGAGGGCAGTGTGTGGTGTGAATATAATGCAGAGAATTTGTAGTTTGGAAATTAGGAGGAGGTGCAGAGTTACCAAAATTATCCAGAAGGCTGAGGAGGGGTTGTTGAAGTGGTTCGGACATGTAGAGAGGTTGGAACAAAATAGAAGGACTTTGAGAATGTACAAGTGTAGTGGAGGGAAGGTAGGGTAGGGGTCAGCCTAGGAAAGGTTGGAGGGAGGGGGTAAAGGAGGTTTTGTGTGAGAGGGGCTTTAACTTCCAGCAAGCATGTATGAGCATGTTAGATAGAAGTGAATGGAGGAAAATGCTTTTTAGGACTTGATGTGCTGTTGGAGTGTGAGTAAGGTAATAATTATGAAGGGATTCAGGGAAACCAGCAGGCCGGACTCGAGTCCTGGAGACGGGAAGTACAGTGTCTGCACTCTGAAGGAGGGGTGTTAATGTTGCAGTTTTATAACTAGTGTAAGCGTGCCTCTGGCAAGACAGTGATGGAGTGAATGATGGTATAAATTTTTTTTTTTTTTGGGCCACCCTGCCTTGTGGGACATGGCTGATGTGTTAATAAAAAAAAAATATTCTGTAAGTTTTCCATCAAATTTTGTATTTTTGATGTCATTACTTAGAGAAAAACTTACTTCCATTTCAGATTTTTTTTTTTTTTTTTTTTATCTTGACATTGTCAGCAGTTTTAATTTTGGGGGTCCTGACAGTGAAAGGCTTAATGGAGTAATACATTTATGGAATTTATAGCTACCACTGTTCTTCAATAGTGAAATAATGTTAAGTAGAGTAAATATAAGCTCCTCTATAACTAATTAGTGAAGTGAATTACTGTACATAATCTGGTTTGAGACTTGTTTGTCATAGTATTTACACAAATTGGAATGCAGAGATAGTGCTCAAGTACTGCATTTAAAAGGTAGCACTTACTATAACATTTTATTTGACTTGTCCTATCACAATCCTAATAAAAATTGTATACTTCTGTTTTCATAGATATATGGTGGTGTTGAAGAAGTATGTTTTGAGGAGTTGAGAGCGGCACAATACTTCAAAGAGGAGAGGGAGAAACAGAAACAAAAGCAAAAGGACGGTAAGGGGTATTTTATGATTTCCGAAGCATTTAATGTTGTCTTCGATAGCTGTTTGAATTGGGATGTTTGTGCACTCCTGATATGACCACTGTTATGTGATGGTGAATGTAATTTATTTTGGCCATCCTATCCTGGTAAGAAACAGTTGTAGTTAAAATGGAAATTTCTCACTTCATGGGCAATCAAATACAAAGTTTCACTTACTGTGTACATGCTGTTGTTGGGATATATCACTAATAAGCCTGCTTGAAAATATAACTAGGCATTATCTTTTTTTTTTTCCTGGTCACTACAGGATACGTACTGTGGCTTGACACCAATCAGTTATTGATTTTGTAAGTAATGGGGTGGTGAGTAATGCGAGAAAATTTTAATATTGTTTAATTTTTATATTATTAGATTGATTTATCCATTTGTACAAGTTTTTTATTCTTAACCCTTTCAGTGTCAAAACCTCTGATCCTTAACCCCTTGACTGTCGCAACCCCAAATCCTGAGGCATCTCCTGGTGTATCAAAATCCCCCCCTCCCCCCCCCTCCCCCCCAAAAAAAAATTCTTGTGAAATGATAATCTTTTCCCGATTGTAATGACACTAAAAGAACAAAATTTGATGGAAAACTGACGGAATTATGCTCTCGTGAAGTTAGCGACCGCAGCAATATTTGGGAATCGGCGATTTTGCCTACTTTGAGCCCTATTTTCGGCTAATTCCATTGTTCCAGTTGACCAGACCCATAGCTATTTTTTAGAACTCCATTTTTTTCTATCGATTGAGTACAAGAAACTGCCCATTCACCAATTTCAACTACCCAATAACGTGGTCAAAAATTTGCAATTTGGCCAATTTCAAGAAAATTAAAAAAAAATGACAATTTCAAAATAGGGTCCAGAATGAACAATGCAGACATTCCTGGCTCTAAAATAACATTTTCTTTGTTCATCAGTCATGTCTCCAGGCCCCTCTGATATTACTCTTGCTTTCTATTTTGAATTTTTATTCAAACAGAAAATAGAAGATTTACTTTTATGCAGACTACTGCAATATTGTAATAATTGTATAAATGATGTCAACCCATTCATGACTGCATATTAGAATGGCTACTTGGATATTTATTGGACAATGACATCACTTGTTTACTTTTGAACATCGGCAGAAATCAAACATTTTCCCTACTTTGAGCTCCATTTCTAGGTTCTTTTCATAGGAAAACCAATCAAAATTACCTCTATTTCTATAATATTTTTTCAATTCTATCAAATGAGACCAAGAAAACGAGAATACAACCATAAATACTATACGAAAAGAGACCACAAAGTCGGTGTCTTAATTAAAAAAAAAAAGTCAGGTTTTTTCTCATGCACTGTGTGCTGCAGGATTTTTTTTATATGGTGCACACTGACCACACAGACCCATTCTCTCACATGTGGGCCTACCAACTTTCTCCTGCTTGATTTGAAGCCGCTAGAATTTTGAGTATATATACGTCAAAACTGGCTAGTAAGACGCGTGCAGCCAGTAGTAACAGCTTGGTTGATCAGGCTCTGATCCACCATGAGGCCTGGTCACAGACTGGGCTGCAGGGGCGTTGACCTCCAGAACTCTTTCCAGGTAAATGCCTACCGTCCGACTTATAACCTGCTCGACATACGACCATTCGACTTACGACCGTGTCTTGTATGCCAAATTTCTTGGAAATAAACAACTGTTTGTGTTGTACAAAGTGTTTATCCTAAACCTTACAGTATAAAATACAGTACTAACAGCATAAAAAGTAAAGTAAAAAATGAAATACCAAAATAAAACCATAAAATGAAGCCATTACAAAAATGTGATGTTGATATTCAGTAGTAAGGTTCAACTTGCCTCCATTTCGATTTACGACCGATTGGTCGGAACCGAACTCGGTCGTAAGTCAGATGATACCTGTGCGACCAAATCAGTCAAAGGGTTAACACTGTTGGAAAAATTTGAAAAAAAAAAAATAAATTTCTCATGAAATGATAGTCTTTTCCCGATGGTGTTGACCCCAAAAGTACGAAATTTGGTGGAAAACTCACTAAATTACGCTCTCGTGAAGTTAGCGATATTTACACATCGGCGATTTCGCCCACTTTGAACCCTATTTTCAGCCAATTCCATTGTTCCAACCGACTAAAATCATGGCTATATCGCTAGAACTCCATTTCTTCTATCGATTGAGTACAAGGAACCGCCCATTTACCGATTTCAGCTACCCAATAAATTTGTCAGAAATTGGCAGTTTGGCCAGTTTCACAAATTTCAAAAGATGCCAATTTCAAAATAGGGTCAAGAATAAACAAGGCAGACATTCCTGGCACTAAAATAACATTTTCTCTGTTCATTAGTCACGTCTCCAGGCCCCTCTTATATTACTCTTGCTTTCCATCTTTAATTTTTATTCTCTCAAAAAAATATTTACTGTTATGCAGACTACTGCATTATTATAATTGTATAAATAATGTCAACTCACTTGTGAATGCGTATTAGACTAGCCAGTTGGACACATATTGGACAGTGATGTCATTTGTTTACTCTTGAACATCCAAATGCACAAAAGAATAGACATCTTTAGTCTATTCTTTTGTGTATTTGGTGGGCAGAGAACTTTAGTCCTGGAGGTGGGAAGTACAGTGCCTGCACTCTAAAGGTGGGGGTTTGGTATATTTGCTGTAAACATCTAAACTGTTATATCTGTGTGCCTCTTGCAAGACAGTGATAGTGAAGGCGTTTCTTTTTCGGGTCACCCTGCCTTGGTGGGAGACAGGCCACCATGTTAAAAAAAATACAATTGAACCAGCAAGTGGGTTGTCAAGTGTGCTGATAAAGCATCTGCTGCATTAGATAATTTTCCCATTTGTTTTACATTTAATTCAGTTACAGTCGTTACATAATTTAATTTGATGTTTCAGATGAATTAAAGATGATAAAAGAGACGCTAAACAAGCAAGAAGAAATTATTCAGCAGTTGCTGCAAGATCGTGAAATGTTACGTAAACAGCAGCAAGAACAGGTCTGTGTATATTGTACTTGCCTATTTGTGGTTCCAGGGGTTGGTTGCTAGACCCTAGCCCTGCCTCTTGATTTGCCAGATTCACTCCCTCAGTCTCATGGGCTGTGTTGTACCTACTCTTAAAACTATGTATGGAGCCTGCCTCCGCCATCTCTTCATTGATATTCCACTTCCTGATCAGTCCCAGACTGAAGAAATACTTCCTGAAATCCCTGTGGCTCATCTGTGTCATTAACTTCCAGCAGTGTCCCCAAGTTTCCATTTCTTGCTTTTCAAACAGCCTGTCCCTGTCTACCCTACCAGTACTCTAGAGCATTTTGTATGTCGTTATGTCTTTCCTGATTCTTCTGTCCTCCAGTGTCATTAGATTAAATTTTGTTAGCCTCCCCTTGCAGCTTGTGCTCCTTAGCTCAGGAACAGACTATTTTTTTGCACTTTATCCAGTTGTTTAACAAGCTTTTTTATACGTGGGTTGCTCCATACCCCAAGACTGGCCTGATGTATGTTGTACAAAAGGCCTGGAATGACTGCTTGTTGAAATTCTTGAGGGCTACTCTTAGAATTGCCAGATGAACATTTTGTGCAGAGATGATTTGGCTGATGTTAGCATCTGGTGATATACCAGGCACTGCTCACCCGTAGATCTTTCTTTTTGAGTGAGGTCTGCAGTTTCTGTTCCCAGAGTCTATCCCATTTTAGTCTCTTTGCTCCTTCCTTAATATCTGTGACTTTACATTTACAGTAGGGCCCCACTTTACGGCGTTTCACTTTACGGCGTTTCGCTAATACGGTCATTTCAAATTATGATCAAAACTCGCTATACGGCTCCCCCCACCTGACTTTCTAATATGGTCACCGCGCCCCACCTGGTTTGTTTACATTCTCTGTGAGATCTGTAAGCACTAAGTCTCTCCATTATGTCTGGAAACTCCAAAATTTTAAGTGTTTTTAAAAGTTTTCATATTTTATATATACTCTGATAATTATACTTATGTATACCTGTACTTAAATAAACTTACATACTGTGCTGGCATGCAGGTACACATTAAAATCAGTAAGTGTCTTATGCCTCCAGACGTCATATTAGTAATGATGATAATAATCACCGAGTCTCATTTAAATGTCGTATATTACATTAATATACACATTTTCATTAATCGATCTATGATATTTTTTCAAAATTATATAATAAACACGATGCATAACATATAAATATGATAAATACACCCCACAGTAGAATAAATAAACAAACATAAATATGAGATGTGGTAGCAGACGACTTACACAAGTGACGCCATATTAGAAATAATAATAATAATAATAATACTCACCGAGTCTCGTTAAATGTCGTACATTACGTTAATATACACATTTTCATTAATCCATCCATGATATTTTTTTCAAAATTATATAATAAACATCATACATAACATATACAGATGATAAATACACCCCACAATAGAATAAATAAACATAAATATGAGATGTAGTAGCCAGATAACTTGTATAAGTGATGCCAAGAATAACATTTTCTCAAATCTAACATAAGAGAAAATGTGTTACTGGAGGTAACTGTAGAAAATTATTTCTTTCGTATGTATGTAAGTTTATTCAGGTATACACAAATACAGTTACATAGATTATCATACATAACAGCATATGTGTAGAGAACCTAGGATAACCCAAAAAAGTCAGTGACTTATTTCCATTGCCTTCACTCAGAGCGTCATTTCTTCTCAAAATGATGTTACATGAGAATGGGAGTGTTCTTCTTTATTTATTCTACCGTATCAATGTAGAGACAACCTGTACACAATGTAACTTGTACACAAACCAGACGTGTACACTTTGTTTACAAAACTTACCTTCACCTGGTTTGTTTACATAACTCTGCGCCTGTCCTGTCTCATGCACTCATTCTCTCTCTCTCTCATTTATTCGTCTTATCTCATTTACTTACTCCTGACCCTACATTAAGACTACAAATATTTTAAGGTAAGTAATGAGTGAACTGTATATACATTTTATCGCTCTGGGATGCTTAAATATCATAGAATGTGTGTGGGTGGGTTGGCCTGGTATGGTAGCCCGGCTGTCTACCATACATTCCACACTTGATTTTTTCAATAAATACATAAATTTAAAAACCCCTAGATTAAGACAAAAAAAAATTTTTTAAAGGAATTTAAGAGTAAAACTGTATATGCTTTTATCGTTTGGGGATGTTTAAAAATGTAAAAAATTTATGTGTAGGTGGGGGGGCCTGGTGGTACCGGGGTGATACCATACATACCACATTGATTTCTTAAAATAAATACTACTCATTCCCCCTAGTTTAAGACTATAAATATTTTAAGGAAGTAAGGGTTGACTAGTGTGTATTGCACTTTTTTATTGTTTTTTGTGCCTATTTTATTGCAAATTTAATATATGTTTGTGTAAACTTGTATCTAGTTTTGTATGTTTTTAAAAGGGGAAAAAAAGGGGTGTTCCCCACTTTACGGGATTTCCGTTTACGGCGGTGCCTGGAACCTAACCGCCTTTTATAAGTGGGCCCTACTGTAAGGGGGTTAAATTTTAAGCAACCCAAAAATTTCTGACCTATCTTCAATTTGTCCACACCCCATTGGCACATTTTGTCCTTTTTTTTTTTTTTTTTTTTTTTCCCCACTTTATCACGCAAACGGGGGTTATCTTAATCACATCTTGAATGTCATTCCAAAAAAAAAAAACCTGATCTTAATTAAATTTGCGGGCCCCTGCTGGTTACTTTCTCCAGTGACCTTTTTTCCCCTGACACTTCTTCCTTTTGTCATATTCGTATCTACTTTTCCCCTGTTTTTTTCCCTTTTTCCAAAATTTTTTTGGCCTGCCTTGTTAGGGCAAAATATAAAAATGCCTTTTAGGTCTAAGAAAATGCGACCCGCCTTCCTCTTCCTGTCGTACATTTGGTAATTGGCGAGTTTTCCCATCTCAAAATTTATGCTATTTTTTGTTTAAAAAAACCTTTTTTTCCCAAATGTTCTATTTTTTTTTTCCCTCTATCTTTCCCTGTTACCTGCCAAGGATGTCATGGTTGGTTTTCTGAAAATTCTCCCCTGCTGTTAGTTGGTGTGTTTTGACAGTAAAAAAAAAATCCTAATGGCTGAGGAGCAAAAATTTCCCAAAAATTCTAAAACCACCAAATTTTTAATTGTGGTAAACTCTTCTACGTCCCAGAGGGATTGGGGGGGCCCACATTTTAAATTTGGGAAAATTTGGGGTTATCGTTATTCGGGTTAAATTGAAGACTGGTAAAAGAATTTTACAATTTGCTTTTGGGGATGTAATTTTAGAAAAGATTTTTTTGATTGACCTGGATGTTGTGAATCCCTACACCAATTTTTGAGAAATTTTTTTGGAATGATTTTTTCATAGGTAACAAGTCCCAAAGATGTGGTGGCTTTCCACATGATTTCCCTTTAAAGAAGGAAAGTGTAATGTTAAGGTAGTTTTTTTTCCAATAAAGCGGTTTAATGGTATTTTGTAAACACAAGTGATTTAACTCTCAAAAAGTTTACTTTCGATTTCTTATTTGTAGTTGGGTTCCTTTTCATCTTCCAGTATTAAGGGCATATCTAATACTTTGGGATTTTCATAACTTATAGGTAACTTAAAAAACAAAAAGGCACAATATGGACTGAAACAATATACAAATAACCCACATAGGGGAAGGAGCTTAGTGACATTTTGGGCCCCCTTGGGCCATTTACAAAATCACCTGACAAAAGGGAGAGAATGGGGGTTTTATAATTTGGCCCGCAGACAAGATGGGGCAAGAGAGGTAGTAGGAAAGGAAAAAATAGTGGTAGGTAGTAGTAGTCAGTCAAAGACAAGAAAGAGGGGCACTGAAAGGGGGCTAGAGGCCCACACGGGGTAAACAAGAAAAAGGGGGGAGAAAATAATAGTAATGGACCCAAAAAAACCCCCCCGCAGAAGCAAAAAAACCCAAAGGAGAAAGAGGACGGGGGGGAGGGAGAAGAGGGAAAAAAAAACAGGGTTTAAATCATGGGGTTCTGAGTTTGGGGCATTTTACAATGTAATGGGAAAGGAAGGAACTCAGAGACAAAACCCGGGGTTTAAAATTATATAAGGGAAAAATTTTGATAAGGGGGGATTCCCAATGGCGCTGTGAAAGTTAGACCAGGGTATCAGTTTTAGCGAAAAACCTCAGTATGATGACTGTGATCTTGCATGTCGGCTGGCCTATTTTAAAACCCCCCTTCCCCCCCTTTTGTTTGGTGACTTGTAAATGGTCCAAGTCCCGACCAAAACATTGTAAGCTTTTCGTCTTTTGTGCGGGTTTATTAGTGTATTATGGGTAAAATCTTTGTTTTCTTGGTGTAGGGTTTTTTTGGGTTTTCCTTTATAGAATGCCTTGGTGAATTTCTGTTGATGTAAGAACTAGAGCCAGTTTTTGATGCTCATTTTCCCGGGGTGAACTTGTATATGTATTTCTCTCTTCTCCCACCCTTTTTTGGAAATTAAATTGTGAGGGGTTTTTTCAATAATCAGGCATTTTTACTTTGAATTAATAACAACAAGTAATGGTGAAGGGGTTTTTCTTTCCACTCTTCCTGCTTGTTGGAAAGTGCTGCTGTTCTTAAAAATAAAAAAAGCAGGGGAGTTATGAAAACATTTCATTGTATGATTGTTTCTAAAAAATTCGTATTAAACTTTTATTTCCCCGAATACGAACCAGTATTTACCAGACCGTTGGGTTGCCATTAAAAATCGGGGAATGCATCAGTTTTAATGCCTCACATGTGAGTACTTACCTATCTTAATTTTTGCGTTTTTAGCATTCTTTTTTTCTTTTTTTTTTTTTTTTTTTTTATTGCCTTAGATGCATGACAGTACAGTAGATTATTGAAATGAATACTGTCTTGGTAATCAGTAATTGTACGAAGGTACCAAGTTCTTTTGTAAAAGGAATAAAAAACTTTTTCAGTGCTTGCATCCCCATATTGTATTTCTCCTGTGATTGATGAGAAATTCTTTTGGTGTCATTACCATCAGGAAAAGATTCTCTATCATTTCATAAGATTTTTTTTTTTTCTCTCGACACCAGGAGACGCCTCAGGATTTGGGGTTGCGACAGTCAATGGGTTAATTGCTTTGAGACACTTATGGCTTACAAGGCAATGATTCTAACCTGCTTCTCCACAAAGATGAATGTATGAAATTGAAGTATAGTGTAAAAAGCTGAAGCTTTTGTTAATTTTACTAGTAGTTAAAAAAGCAGTGTAATGGCAGAAAACTAGACTTAGAGAGGGAAGAATTGTGTGGATAATAAAGTAACTGAATTGAAGCATACAGATGAGAACCCTACATTACAAACTTCAGATTGCAGTCATACAATGGTACAGTGGACCCCCGCATAACGATGGCATCGCATAGCGATTTTTCCGCATAACGCTTACTTTTATCGCAAAATTTTTGCCCCGCATACCGATTAAAAACCCGCATACCGATTTTCGTCCGAGACGCGTCCAATGTGCCCTCAGCCAGCCTCACATGTGCCGCTCCGTCCCATTGTTTACCAGCCAGCCTCCACGGTAACATCCAAGCATACACTCGGAATATTTCGTATTATTACAGTATTTTCGGTGCTGTTTCTGGAAAATAAGTGACCATGGGCCCAAGAAAGCTTCTAGTGCCAACCCTGGGGTTTAAAAAGGGTGAGAATTAGTATGGAAATTAAGAAAGATTTTGAAGGGTTTGGGGGGCTAACCCTGAGAAGCCTATCCCAGTTGTGGAATCCATTGTGCCTACTTCAAAGATTAAGGAAATGTGTGCACAGTGGGTTGGAACTGCAAACCTTTATAGATGAAAATCACCCTGAAAACAGCTGTTGCAGCCGTGCTGGTGACTATTTCAATGACATGTTGTGGCCCATTTTAGACAAATCGTAAAGGAACGGGAGGAAACAGGGGGCTCTATGGACAGATTTGTTGTTGCGACAGAGGTCCGTGACTCTCAAGCTGGTCCTTAGTGGCATTAAAAGAAGAAGGGAAGTAACCCCGGAAAAGGACTTGCTACCTCAAGTCGTAATGGAAGGGGATTCCCCTTTTCTAAACGTAAGAAGATAATGCTCTCCTCCTCCCATCCCATCAATCATCACCAGATCTTCAATAAAAGTAAGTGTCATTTAATTGTGCATGCCTTTTTCAGTTTGTGTGTATTAAAATTAACATTTCATGTGGTAAAAAAATTTTTTTTTCATACTTTTGGGCGTCTTGCACGGATTAATTTGATTTCCATTATTTCTTATGGGGAAAATTCATTCGCATAACGATTATTTCGCATAACGATGAGCCCTCTTGCACGGATTAAAATCGTTAACCGGGGGTCCACTGTACTATACCTCTCTGCATGGTTGCTGTGTACCAATTTCCTACCTGTGTAGTATGCAGAGGAAACTTGGTTGGTTCCTATGTCATGAATAGGTATTGTAATCAGTGTTTGTATATTTTTGCTGTGATGAGTTTCAGAATTATTTTGGAAGGGACTGGTATATAACAGATAGTGAACTGTGGTGCTAGTTACGTGGAATTCAATCTGTATTCTGGCAGACTTCATTCATTTCATTGGATCTCAGTTTTTGGGTCACACCATTGCACTGTTTATTCCTTTATGGTGTATTGGCTCAGACTAGTACTTCTCTGATGGCATTTCAGCCAGGTCCACCCCAGGCATGAGTGTATAGGTTTCATGTACATTTATATTTTTAAACAGTTGCTGCCTGGTTACCCATTTTATTGGATTATGCTACAAAATTTTCATCAAATGCTATTTTCTTGTAATATTTATGTTACGATGTTTTGTGCTATGTTCAGTACAGTATTTCTGTATCTGCAAAAGGTTATATATTATTTTTACACTTTTTTGAGCTTCGTTAACATAAATTTAAATTTATCTTTCATAGCTCCTGGATGAGAGTAAAAGTGCTTTACTTCAACCAGCCACAGCTAGCATTAATGGGAAGGAGTCATGTATTGCACAGGATTTGTCTCCCCAGGCACTCAGTAAGTAGTAGCAAGTTAGCTTTAAAAATTTTTTGGTAATTCACAGTTGTGAGTGTAATGCTTGTGTAAATGTAAAAGAAAAAAGTGTAATACTGAAAAAGAGTTGATTCAGAGTTAACCATTTATGAAGGGTTTTTACAAAGAGTGGTTAAGTATAGTATACAAATAGGAAAGGAAGTTTGTAAGACTGAAAGAGAAATTAAAGAACTCTTGGGAGTTACAATAGAGGTGTTGTCCTACATAGGCAAAAATAGTAATTCCCATCAGTATCATTAGTATCTAATTTTCCACTTTATAGTTGAGTCATCTCTGAGACAGAAAACAAAATACACTGAACACTATGTAGATAATTCTTTCCACTCCTGAATCATGGTGTGTTAGTCTGACATCTTTCTGATGGATACTGATCATCAGACTATTAATTGACTCTTTCCATGACACAGAATGGTATTTAGAAAGAATATACCTTCTTATTGGTAAAGTAATGAGGAAACTAGCTTGGGCATAAACCCTTGGCAGGGTGACCCAAATGATTTGGATAAAGAAAAATTGGTTATCACATTGGAGAGAGGGAGTATGGAAGAAGTGAATGCTTTCAGATATTTGGGAGTTGTTGTGTCAGCAGATGGGTTTATGAAGGATGAGGTTATCTATAGAATTGATGAAGGAAAAAAGGTGAGTGATGCATTGAGGTATATGTCCAGACAAAAAGCGTTATCTATAGAGGCAAAGGGAATGTACGAAAGTGTAGTGGTACCAACTCTCTTATATGGGTGTGAAGATTGGGTTGTAAATGCTGCAGCGAGGAGGTGCTTGGAGGCATTGCAGATGTCCTATCTAAGGGCAATATGTGGTGTAAATATTATGCAGAAAATTCAGTGTGTGGAATTTAGAAGGTGTGGAGTTAAAAGTATTAGTCAGAGGGCTGAAGAGGGGTTGTTGAGGTGGTTTGGTCATTTAGAGAGAATGGATCAAAGTAGAATGACATGGAGAGTGTATAAATCTGTAGGGGAAGGAAGGGGGGGTTGGGGTCGTCTCGAAAGGTGGAAGGAGGGGTTACATAAGAACATAAGAAAGGAGAACACTGCAGGAGGGGATCGTTGGCCCATCACTAGGCAGGTCATTTAAATTATCCCACTAAAAAAACATTTGACCCAACCATATTTTCAATGCTACTAGAAATGAGCTCTGTATGTGAAAGTCCACTCAATCCAAAACCCTCCCTCTCATGTACTTATCCAAACTCCTAAATTTGAAATGACTACCCAAAGTCTCAGCCTCAATAACAAATAGGTAGACTGTTCACACTCATAAAACTACCCTATTTCCAACCAATACTTTCCTATGTCTTTTAATATAAAACTTATCTATATTTAAATCAGTTACTGCAGGTTCTTCTCTGGGGAGGACATTCCTCAAGGACTTTATTCATATACCCTTTAGTAATACTATCTGCACTTATACACTTTGATCAGGGTCTCCCCTCATTCTTCGTCTTACAAGTGAAAGTAACATATGAGTCTTACAATCTTTCTTCTTATGGAAGATTTCTAATGCTATGTATTAATTTAGTCATCCTAATGCTGAATGTTTTCTAACGAATTTATGTCCATTATTTATATGGAGGACCAGAACTGAGCTGCATAATCTAGGTGAGGCCTTACTAATGATGTATAAGCTGCAGTATGACTCTGGACTTCTGTTGCTTACCACTTCATTGATATAATCCAGTAATTGGTTTGCCCTATTACGTCCGCTTAGGCATTGCTGTTTGGTTATAAGGTGCTGCTATCAAACCCCCCAAGTCCTTTTGCTATCTGTATGGCTAATGTTCTACTTATTTTAAACTTATAGTATTAGGGTTTTGGGCACTCACATCGCTTATGAATCCTTGCATTTATCTAGATTGAAACTGCATTCTGACACTTTCGGACAAGTGTAGAGTGTTGTTTTAAATCCTCACCTGAAGTTTACATTACATCTTTCGTTTGATTCAATTTATCCTAAATATCTTTGTGTCATCGGCCGATTTGCTCATATCACTAGTTTCCCCTAGTCAAGATAATTGTTATATATTATAACTATTAACGGGCCAAGTACTGATCCCTGTGGAAAGCACACTTTGTACAGATCCACTCGGATTTAACCCCATTTATGACACAACTCTTCTGTCAGTGAGCCATGGACGCGATCCACGAGGAGCACTTTTATACCAATGCCATGAGCGCCACTGTCTTTAACTGTTATTGGTGTGGAACAGCTATCAAGCATTACTAAAATCTAAGGCTAATTATATTCAATAATTTCTTTAGCGTGTCAACAGCTCAAAAGCTTTACTGAAGAATAGTTAATAAATTAGTTAGACAAGACCGGCCTCTTGTGAATCATGCTGAGTATCCTTATCAAGCTATGCTTATCGAGTTGGCTTCTTATTAATCTCTGCTATAATTTTGACTCTAGTAATTTGCCTTCAAGAGAGGTCAGGCTTATTGGGCGGTATTTGACAGGTACGACTTGTCCCCTGTTTTATTAAAAAATTTAAATAAATACTTACATAGGAATTACATTAGCCATCTTCCACATATCAGACACTACACATGTTTGAAGAGATAAATTAAAAATATTAGTTAAGGTTCACAGGGCGTGTCCATTTTGCATTCCTAAGAACCTTGAAAAAACCTCTTCAGGGACCGGCGACTTATTTTGTTCAGTCTATCTGCTTCACAACCATTTCACTAGTTGACTTCAAAAGGGTATAACAATCCGACAGGTTGTTAGGTATGACACATTATGCATCAGTTAGACAACTTTATTCCAAAACGTTTCGCCTACACAGTAGGCTTCTTCAGTCGAATACAGAAAGTAGACAGGAACAGTAGTAGATGTGAAGGGAACGATTAATCTGTCCTTCCCCTTGTAGTCGTAGAATTTGAGGTTGTCAGTTCCTCGGCCTGGAGAAGTTCAGTTCCATAGTAAGGAACATCTGAAGATCTAAGCGACAGTGAGGAGTCTTAATTACTGTCGGAAGGAGAGGTGCAGGGTAGTAGTAGTAGTAGTAGAGATGTGAGGACGCATGTAATCATGGTCCATCACTACTATACTACCTGCACCTCTCATTCCGACGTATTTAAAGTCTCGCACTGTCGCTTGATCTTCAGATGTTCCCCCATGACTATGGAACTGAACTTCTCCAGGCGAGGGATGACAACCTCAAATTCTACGATTTAAGGGTGGATGGACTGATTACATCGTCTTCACTATCTCTACTGTTCCTGTCTACTTCTGTTTTCGACTGAAGAAAGCCTACTGTGTAGGCAAGAAACGTTTCGGAATAAAGTTGTCTAAATGTTGCAATATGTGTCTACCTCTAACAATTTCACTAGTGACTGTGATGTTACATAATTTATCTTCTTTCTAGCCACTAAAAATTAATTACTGGAATATTGTTAGTGTCTTTATGTGTAAATAAACAGAGAGAAAATAATTATTTAAAATCGAGACATTCTCATTCTCTTTGTCAGTTATGGTGCCATAGTTTTCTTTTAAGGCGGATCTAATCTTATCTTTATACTTTTTTTTATAGACCTGCGAAATAAACTTTTTGGGTTAGTTTTAGAATCCTTAGCTAACTTTAATTTAATAGTCCCTTTAGCCTTTTCTTATCCCCTTTTTAATGTCCCACTCTAATGTCTCTTATACTGTTACATAAGATGACCCTGCACGTCTTTTGATACCGCTTAATTATTTCTTATGCCCTAGTAGATATTTCAGCTATTTCATTCATCCATTTGGGTTCATTCTATTTGATCTAATTTCTTTATATGGATAAACGTTCTTTTACCCCCACCCCCCCCCCCCCGTTGCGCAGCATGTATAGTGTTCAGAAACTGTCTTATTGATGGTCTCTTCGTTACCCCAGTCAACAGATAAGTGTTACTCTATGCCAATCGTAATCTGCTAAGCGAGAAATGGGACTGTTATAGAGTTATACGCTACAATCGTACTTCCATTCATTGCTAACATGTAATTGGGATTGTGGTCGCTAGCAACCCAGTTCCTATGAAATTTCTAAAATATTAACAAGGGATTCATTGTTTGCCAAACTAAGTCTAAGAAGGGTTATTTCTACTTGTAGGTTCTCGTCTCAAACTGACTTCAAAAAAACATCCTGAAACTACTAAGAAAGTCGTTTGATTCTAAATTCCCAGGTCAGAAATTCCAATCCAGTAGACTAAAGTTAGTCTCCTAGAATTACTACATATCAGTGCCTAGTGCCTTAACAGTTTCTTACCCATAGTAGTCTCCTTGGTCCCTATGTAAAGTTTGGGGGACGGTATATCCACTCCTAAAATCAGTTTTTCATGCCCTCTGATAATTCCTATCCATACAGACTCTGTACGTGTTACTTCAGACTTAATACCAGTTTTATGCAGCAGTTAAAGTGATCACTCGGTCATACTATGCACCCCACCCCCCTTCCCGATACTTCTATCTACTGGAACAATTTATAAACCCTGAATATGACATTCCACAGGGCATGTCCGACTTTTTGAATTAAACCACGTCTAAGTTAAGGCAAAATACATCAAATGTTACCTGGCCACTGCAACTAATCTCAACTCGTCAATCTTATTCCTAGCACTTCGGCAATTACGCATAATAAACCATTGAAACACTCTCATTTCTCTTTACCATTCCTGCCTCTTATGTTTCTTCTACTAAAACTAATACTGTCCTTATCACCCCAAAGTCACTGGCTTTTCAATATCTACTCGTTTCTGCTTATTACTAGTTCCCTAGGATTCGTAATATTACTGTCCATGGACTTCACTGTTTTCCTGCAAAAACCATGCCACTAACTATTCTAGTTTTAAAGTCCTAAATGATCCCTCCACTGCGTTGCAAGTGCTACAACACAGCCTAGATAAGTGATAACCATCCCTGGCATACATGTCATTTCTGCCATAGAAGAGGTCCCAGTAGTAGTGAATGTTACCGCATTTTCCTTACAGTATTTGTCCAGCCAGCAAATTGATTCAAAATTGCCCTGGACAACTTTCATTTCCAACTCTCCTCCTTGGCAATAACCAACAAATAGGCCAGGGTTCCACCTTACTCCCAATTATTTCTATTGCTGACCCATTACCTCGCTAATCAGGTCTTTCACTCCTAAGTCTGCAACATCCGTTGACTCCAGCACTGAGACGATAAATAGGGATTTGCTCAATTACCGCTCAATGATGTAATCCAGACGGCTAACAATATCCTCCATCACCTGCCCAGGAAAGGGCAAACTCTGTCTCTACTCCTGTCTCTTCAAGGCAGAACGCCCTATCCATCAGAACTAACTTGGCTATCCACTACTAACAACAATATTCTTACCTTCCTAATGTCGTTCGTCGTGACGTTCCCAGTAGTCGACTCAACATTCGTCGGGTAGCAATGAGAAATGGATTATTTAGATGTTTCCACAGCAGTTTCCACGGCAGTCTTTCTTATTCATCGTTTTTCTACCTTTCCATTCGTCCTCTTGACGTCAACTCGTTCCTGCTGGTCCAGCCCACTGACCAGTTCCTTCTTGACCTGAGGACTCAAAACAGGAGGACTACTACGAATCTTCTTGTTTTCTTGGTCAGTCGTCGAATCTCATCTTCGCCATCTCTCAATTTTCCTTAAGCTGTTGGTAAAGAGTTGCTCGATGGAGCGGCCAATCACTTGCTTCAATTGTAGAGAGCGTGCAAACAGTCTTCACGAGCTACAGTACTCGTCACTACTGCGAAAAAGCCAAACAATCAGGGTTATAGTGTAAACGTGTTTTGATGGGTCGAGGGGCTCGGAATTCCCAGCAAGTGTGCGTGAGCGTGTTGGAGACAAATGGTTTTTGGGACCTGATGAGCTGTTGGAGTGTGAGAGAGGGTAATATTTAGTGACAGATAGTGGTTAAGTTATTTTTATATAGCAGGACTTGAGTTTTGGACAATGGGATGTACTATGCCTGTACTTTATAAAGAGGGGTTTGGGATATTGGCAGTTTGGAGGGATATGTTATGTATCTTTATATATGCTCCTAAACTGTTATTTCTGGGCACTTCTGGCAAAAACCAGTTGATTTGTATGAGTAAGGTGAAAGTGTTGAATGATGATGAAAGTATTTTTCTTTCTGGGGATTTTCTTTTTGGGTCGCCCTGCCTCGGTGGGAGTCGGCTGATTGTTGGAGAGAAAAAAAAAAATTGTCCTTGTACATACATGTATTTGTACAGTATTCTCTCACTTTGCAATGTTCGTGTAATTGTTTATGATGCCTCGGTCTTACGATGGGCTCTTGACAAGTATTTATACACTAAATGTTTATTGAGATGATTTCCTCTATTCTCTTTATTTCAATATACAGTACAGTACTGTATAAACATTTAAAAATATACCAGAAATGTTATAAAGGGTGCAAAGGCGACACTAAAACAATATCATAGATGTTGACACAAAATCTCCATACCATTATAGTATGCTCCTTCTCTTAGCAATGATTCAACTTAATGGACGTTAACTGTTGTTTCTGCACAGAACTCCGTTGTTAAGTGAGGAAGAGGCTGTATATAGTTTTTTTTAACACGGCCATGTTCTGTGAGCATGCATGATGACTGTGAAAGACAGAAACACTTATCAGTTTTTCTTTTCTGGCATATAGTAATTTATACAGGAGAAGGGGATACTAGACCCTTTCTCCCAGCATTTTAGTCTTCTCTTCTGACACGTATGGCTTATGGAGGAAGGATTCTTCTCCACACCACTCCTTCGGAGTGTTTTCACTCTGAAAGAGAGGTGGGGATATTTGCAGTTTTGAACTGTAGTATCTGCATGCCTCTGGCAAGACAGTAATGGAGTGAGTGATGAACCCGTAATAATGGATTCAGATTAGATAAGTTTAGATTTCGAGAGGATATAGGAAAGTACTCGTTTGGTAATTGGGTAATCGATGAGCAGAATGGTCTGCCTAGTAGGGTTATCAAAGCTTACACCTTGGGTAGTTTCAAATTTAGGTTGGATAAATGCACGAGTGAGAGGGGTTGGATTGGAGTGGGAATTGCCCATGAGTAAATAGAATTGTCAGAGCTTATTGCTTGGGTAGCATTCATTCTGTTAATGGGTTGGATTTGTGAAGGACCTGCCTAGTATGGGCTAACAGGCCTGTTGCAGTGTTCCTCCTTTATGTTCTTATGTAGTGAGCAATAGAGAAAGTTTCTTTTTCAGGTCACCCTACCTCAGTGGGAGATGGCTAATGTTAAAAAAATATAGTACAGTATGTATATGTATTACACTTAATATATTTTTTATATTTTTGTATTCTTGTCAGGTTATAATCCACCAAGTTTGGATAATTTGAGCCTCAGCAACAGCAGCAATTCACGTGGTTTGAATGTGACTGATCCTACTTTTAATACTAAATTGGCTATGAATGTGATAAATGACATGTGGTCCACCAGCTTATTTCATGGAGACACTCAGCGGGAATCTGGTGGCTCAGGAGTAGGTTCAGAGAACAGTTCCGATCCAGTAGCCAAGGAAAATGCACCCTTCACTATATATCAGGTAAGTTGTATGTTTAACGTTTTTGTTATTAGTATTCTGAAGATTCATTATTTCATGCTATATATTGCTGTCAAGTGTCTGATAAAGAACAAAAAGGCACAATACCATGACGGGTACAATACACAAATAACCTGCACATAGGAGAGAGAAGCTTATGACAAAGTTTTGGTCTGATTTTTACCATTTACAAGTCACACATGTAAATGGTCCAAGTCGAAGAAAGTTAAGGGATGATCTTGTGGTACCTCCACAATAAATGCTTGATTTTGAAGTTCATATGGCCACCATAGTATACACTGTTTATATATAGTGTTTATTGCCATGCGGGTCAGCAGTTATCTTTATTTTTTTATTTCTGCTATGTTCTTAATGCATTATTTGGTTAGATTGGGATATTTCCAAGAGGCACTGTGTATCTGGAGCAAAATCTAGACTATTGAGCTACACTAACAGAAATGGGTATTTAACCCTTTGAGGGTCGACAGGCCCTCTCCAAGACTCGTTCTCAGGGTCGGCCAAATTTAAAAAACAAAAAAAAGTTCTTTTCTTATGAAAAGATAGAGAATCTTTTCCCGATCATAATGACACCAAAAGTATGAAATTTGATGGAAAACTTATGGAATTATGTTCTCGCGAAGTTAGCAGTCTCGGCGATGTTTACGCATCGGCGATTTTGCCCACTTTGAGCCCCATTTTCGGCCAACTCCACTGTGCTAGTTGACAAAAAACATGAATATTTTGCTAGCACTCCATTTTTTCTATCAAATGAGCAAGAAACCACCCATTTACAAATTTCAACTATCCAGTACAGTGGTCAGAATTTAGCAATTTTGCCAATTTCACACAAATTTCAAAAGATGTCAATTTCCAAATGGGGTCCAGAATAAACAAGAAAGACATTCCTGGCACTAAAATGACATTTCCTCTGTTCATTAGTCATGTCTCAAGGCCTCTCTTACATTCTTTTGTTTTCCCCATTTTGGTTTTTTATTCCCCAAAAAAAATAAAGTTTTTACTGTTATGAAAGACTCTGCATTATTTGAAAAAAATGGTATAAAAAATATTGGACCCACTTACGAAAAAATATTGACTCCCCGGGTTGACATGAAATTGGACGCTGGGCATGATTTGTTTATTTTTTGAACTTTGGTAAAAATGGGGAAAAATTTTTGGTACTTTGAGTTTCCAATTTCAAAGGACTTTTTCATTGAAAAAACGACCCAAAATCTCTCAATTTCTGTAATATTTTCTTCCATTCTAAAAAATGGCCCAAAGAAAATTTAGAAAAAAAAACAATAAATACCATACGAAAAATACAGGGGCAAAGTCCCTGTTTTTTTCCCAAAAAAAACGGTCAGTTTTTTTTTTCATTTTGCATGTGCTGCGGGATTTTTTTTTTTACTGTGCCACTGCCCAACTAGACCCATTTTTTTTTCTTTTTTTTTGGGGCCTACCGCTTTCTCCCACTAGATTTGGGGGTTTGCTAGAATTTAGGCGTACTAGTAGTAAAAAAACCCTGGGTCGTAAGCCGTATTTGGTCGGCCAAAACCCTAAAAGGGGTTAAGTTTTGATTTGTGTTTGTCGACGCTTGTGCTTGCTGACGCTTGTGCTGTAAAAGGGGCCAAAATTTTTTTGTGGAAATTGATAGGTTTGGGTCCCATTATCCTTAAAACTTTATAAATTGTTTAAATCATTTTTATATTTGTAAAATGTAAGGGAATGTATTCTCATTTTTCCCTCAGGATGGCATTTAGTGGTCAAGAAGGACGCCTCACAACCTTTTAAACTGAAATATAATGTGAAAAGATTTACAAACAATGTTGGTGTAAGTCTAACATACGTAATTTGAATTTTTTTATTATATTTTATATGTATATGTATTTTTATTTTTTTGGGTTTTGTTTTTGTTTATTTGTTTTTTTATTTATTTTAATTTATTTATTTTTTTTTTTTTTTTTTATTTTTTTTTTTTTAAATTTTTTTTATTTTTTTTTTTTTTTTTTTTTTTTTTTTTTTTTTTTATTTTTTTTTTTTTTTTTATTTTTATTTTTTATTTATTTTTTTTTTTTTTTTTATTTTTTTTTTTTATTTATTTTTTTTTTTATTTATTTTTATTTATTTTTATTTATTTTTATTTATTTTTTTATTTATGGGGAAGAAAGGGAGGCGGAAATTTTTCATGCACTGGCCAGGGGGGGTTTTAAAACCTTTTTTAGGAGTGAAGAAGAGAAGAATGTAAGTGTGGGGGAGGTACGTGAGGCATTACGTAGAATAAAAGGGGGGAAAAGAAAGCGGGAAAACTGATGGGATCATAAACAGAAATTTTAAAAAGCAGGGGGAGTTTGTTTTGGGAGGGGTTGGTACTTTTGTTTAATAAATGTATGAAAGGGGGAAGGTCCTAGGGATTGGCCCGAGAGCATGTATAGTCCCTTTATAAAAGGGGGGAAAAGGGGGGAGAAGAGTTGTAAAAAAATTTTAGAGGAAAAAGTTTACTAGTATACCAGGAAAATTTTACGGTAGGGTTATAATTTAAAAAAAATTTGAGGTAAAACAGAATGTAGGATTTTCGGTGAGCAGGGGGCCCTTTAGAGTGGGTAGGGGATTGGGGTAAATAAAGTGGGTTTTCATTTAAGGGTTTTATTGAACAGTATTTAGATAAAAGGGGGGGAAGTTTTATTGCATTATTTGGGTTTAGAAAAGGGCATATGATAGGGGGATAGAGGAGCAATGTGGCAGATTTTTGCAAATATATGGAATTGGTGGTAAGTTACTAAAAAGCTGTAAAGAGCTTTTTTGAGGGGTAGTGAGGCTTTTGGGTTTTTGGGTTTGGGTGGTAGGAAGAAAATGGGAGGCCCAATTACCCGGTTTAAAAATAGGGGTCCCCTTTAAAAACCGGGATTTTTGTAAAAGGTCCCCCCAAAGGTTGTTTTAATTTATTTTTTAGGGTGGGGTTTTTTTAAAAGATGTAAATTTTAGGGTGTTCGGGAGGGGGTGGGATTTAAAATTTTGGGGAAACAAATTTAAAATGGGGGAAATTTAACATTAATTTTTTTCTGATGATACTGTGTTTATGGGAGATTCTAAAGAAAAATTGCAAAGGGGTTGTGGATGGTTTGAGAATGTGTGTAAAGGTAGAAAGTTGAAAGTGAACATAGAAAAGAGTAAGGTGATGAGGGTATCAAATGATTTAGATAAAGAAAAATTGGATATCAAATTGGGGAGGAGTAGTATGGAAGAAGTGAATGTTTTCAGATAACTTGGGAGTTGACGTGTCGGCGGATGGATTTATGAAGGATGAGGTTAATCATAGAATTGATGAGGGAAAAAAGGTGAGTGGTGCGTTGAGGTATATGTGGAGTCAAAAAACGTTATCTATGGAGGCAAAGAAGGGAATGTATGAAAGTATAGTAGTACCAACACTCTTACATGGATGTGAAGCTTGGGTGGTAAATGCAGCAGCGAGGAGACGGTTGGAGGCAGTGGAGATGTCCTGTCTACATATACCTCAATGCACCACTCACCTTTTTTCCCTCATCAATTCTATGATCAACCTCATCCTTCATAAATCCATCCGCCGACACGTCAACTCCCAAGTATCTGAAAACATTCACTTCTTCCATACTCCTCCTCCCCAATTTGATATCCAATTTTTCTTTATCTAAATCATTTGATACCCTCATCACCTTACTCTTTTCTATGTTCACTTTCAACTTTCTACCTTTACACACATTCTCAAACTCGTCCACTAACCTTTGCAATTTTTCTTTAGAATCTCCCGTAAGCACAGTATCATCAGCAAAAAGTAACTGTGTCAATTCCCATTTTGAATTTGATTCCCCATAATTTAATCCCACCCCTCTCCCGAACACCCTAGCATTTACTTCTTTTACAACCCCATCTATAAATATATTAAACAACCATGGTGACATTACACATCCCTGTCTAAGACCTACTTTTACTGGGAAGTATTCTCCCTCTCTTCTACACACCCTAACCTGAGCCTCACTATCCTCATAAAAGCTCTTTACAGCATTTAGTAACTTACCACCTATTCCATATACTTGCAACATCTGCCACATTGCTCCTCTATCCACTCTATCATATGCCTTTTCGAAATCCATAAATGCAATAAAAACTTCCCTACCTTTATCTAAATACTGTTCACATATATGCTTCAATGTAAACACTTGATCTACACATCCCCTACCCACTCTGAAGCCTCCCTGCTCATCCGCAATCCTACATTCTGTCTTGCCTCTAATTCTTTCAATTATAACCCTTCCGTATACTTTTCCTCTATAATTTTTACAATCTCTTTTGTCCCCTTTCCCTTTATATAAAGGGACTATACATGCTCTCCGCCAATCTCTAGGTACCTTCCCCTCTTTCATACATTTATTAAACAAAAGTACCAACCACTCCAACACTATATCCCCCCCTGCTTTTAACATTTCTGTCATGATCCCATCAGTTCCAGCTGCTTTACCCCCTTTCATTCTACGTAATGCCTCACGTACCTCCACCACACTTACATTCTGCTCTTCTTCACTCCTAAAAGATGGTATACCTCCCTGGCCAGCGCATGAAATTATCGCCTCCCTTTCTTCCTCAACATTTAAAAGTTCCTCCAAATATTCTCGCCATCTACCTAATACCTCCATCTCCCCATCTACTAACTCCCCTACTCTGTTTTTAACTGACAAATCCATACTTTCCCTAGGCTTTCTTAACTTGTTTAACTCACTCCAAAATTTTTTCTTATTTTCATTAAAATTTCTTGACAGTGCCTCTCCCACTCTTCATCTGCTCTCCTTTTGCACTCTCTCACCACTCTCTTCACCTTCTTTTACTCTCCATATACTCTGCTCTTCTTATAACACTTCTGCTTTGTAAAAACCTCTCGTAAGCTACCTTTTTCTCTTTTATCACACCCTTTACTTCATCATTCCACCAATCACTCCTCTTTCCTCCTGCCCCCACCCTCCTATAACCACAAACTT